AAGATGAGACCCCTTTTACCTTCCCATGCACCCCACCCAGCATCTGTACCCTCTGTACCCCCCTACTCTGCCTTCCCAGCGCCTTGGGTGCAGGGTCATCTCCCCTCTGGATCCCAAGACTCTCAGTAGCCAATACCCTGTGCCTGTAATTTCCCTGCATTACCCACGCCCCACCTCCGGTGGATCATTACCACCCAAATACGAATAGACTGTAATAGCTCCCACCTTCAAAAAGAAATGCAAACCCCACCTTAGCCCCACATCCCTCCACTTCTCTGCCCATTCAAATAAAACCTGAAGCTGGTGCACTTGCTAACCCTACGTCCTCACCCCCGCCCTCTCTGGTCCAAGCTAACTGGGCCTGCCTCCCATGCCCGCCCCCCCGCCCGCAGCTGCTCAGTCGCCTTCATCCTCTGCCTTCGCCAGCCATCAGCCTGTGTTGTCATCGTCCTCCAGCTCTGAGCAGCCTTTCACACAGCCGACCACCTTTTTCTAGGAACCAGGTGTCCACTTTGCCTCCCAAACCTCACATTCTCCTCAGACGCCTTTGCTGGTGCCACTTCCTTTTCCTGACGGGTCCCAGGGCCTGTCTACCTCCCTACGACCTCAACCCTGCCTTTCCCGAGCTGCACACTCATCACTCCGACAGCCCACTCCACACGTCCCCTCACACAGAGAGCTAGGTTGGATGTCCAAGGGGCATCCCATAATCAGGATGAGGAAAGCCAAACTCAGTTTTTCCATAAAACCAGCTTATCACCCAATTTTCCCAGTCATTCTGAAGGTAACAATATTTAGCTGTTGCTAGAGCCCAAATCTAAGAACCACCTTTGAGGCCCACCCATACCTCCCCTTCTCCCCTCCACCCTCGGCTCCCATGCACAGGCTGGCTGACCGCCTGCTGCCGCCACCTCTGCGCAGTGCTGTTCCCTTCCAAGTGGACACCAGCAATAGCACCCGAGGGCAGCCCTGGCTTTTACTCTCGCCCCACCCCGTCCTTTCTCCAAAGCCCAGCCCCTGGTGGCCCCTTCCAATCATGAACCGGGTCCCACCACTTCCACACCACAGCCCCCCAGAAGCCCCGCACACTTAGACTGCACTCTCAGCTGCTTACCGGGGCCCCGAACGCCTCATTTATCCAGCCCCCGCCTCCCTCCTCAACAGCCCGAACTGAGAGAGTCCCCACTGTTCGCTGCGCTTTAGCCCCACCAGCCTTCCGTGGCTCCCCAAGTGTGCCCCAGCCGTTGCCCCTTCCACGAGTGCCTGTGCCACTCTGCCCCAGGCCACCAGGGGCTGGCGCTTTTCGTCATTCAGGCCTCAGCTCAAAGGTCAGCCCCTCTTTCTAAATAAGCATCATCCATCTCTATTCTATTAACCTGTTCTTATTTTCTTCAGAGTGCTTGCCACTATGTGAAGTTACCTTGTTTTTTGGCTGTGTCTCCCCAAACAAGCACCTAATTATACAAGAACAGGGCCTTCTTGGTCTCCCTCACTGTTAAACCAAGTGCAGAGCAGGCTCCCCATGCCCGATCCCATTTTGTGGATGAGGAAACTGAGGCTGAAGGAAATCAAGCATCTGGCCCAGCATCACATGGGAGTAAAGCCAAGGCCAGGGCTGGAACCCACATCTGGCCAACCGCACAGCCCCGTCCTTAGCCTGCTGCATACGATGCCCATGTGCAGCTTCAGGACCTGAAAGAGAAGGCCCCCCTCCCCATGAGACAGGCCCCTGGATTTAAATGTGATTAGATAAAGGCCAACATTACCCTGGATCCTTTTCATTTCTATATCTTGATTTCTGCCCCTTCAGTTCCTTTGAAAGCTTGGGAATAAACCTAAATATTCATTGCAATTATATTCCCTGAACCCTGAAATGAAGTAGAAGGATTCCCACAGACCCAGATGCCATCCAAGTATGACTGCGCTGCTCTGGCTCCAGCAGAAGGGCTGGGAAGAGCAAGTAGTTGGAATCACTTCCACCCAGGGCAGACACATTTCAGGATGAGAATCCCAAAGGTCTGGAAAGGCCATCTCAATGGTTTTGACCTCACCTAAACAATTCCTTAGTTCCAATTATTTTTTTAAAAATAATTTAGCATCTCCTCATTGCCAATTCTAATTCTCCACTCCACTGGATACTATTCATTTTTTTAACATCCACTGACAAATGCCCAGGTTTTTCTTAAAAATAGTCCATGCTTTTCCCTTAAAAATAGCCTATGTTCTTGTTCATAACTTTTAGGTAAATGATAGTATCATTACAACCCCTTTTATCTATCTGTTCATAGCAACAAACAGGATACTCAGACATGGGCCTTCCACACTCAGTGATTATAACCTGCTGCAGCAGCGAGACTAAAAGACATTTTGTAACAACTAGGTGAAATCAGGGAGATCATAAACTGGTATTTACCAGCTCCCTACTATGTACTACCTAGTACTGCAGTGCTCATCTATACTAGAAGCCAGCGTTTTGATTGAGCACTTGATAACATACCGAGCAGCTTATAAGAATGACCTCATTTTGTCCTCAGAGCAATGCCAATGCCCCAGGGAAAGGACTCCCCGTTTCACAGAAGAGGAAACCAACTCTGAGGTGAAATAACTTGAAGAAAGTGGCAGGTCTGACACTGACCAGGTCCCGTGTCCAAAGCCAGACCCCTCAACCTACCGCCATCCTGGCAACGGGAAACGGGGCCTATTTATGACATTGTGAGAAAAGCACCAACGGTTCCAATTTCAGATAAAATAATTAAAACCGCTCATCACACTTTGAGTAAAGAAACAAATCACCATGGTGAGTGACGGTAGTTCTATACTATGAAAATCTTGAAAGTCTCACCAGACCTACTGATTTTCAATCTTTCGAGTAAGAAGAGGATACCCAGGTGGTGAATGGTCAACATTTGGTTGTACGTACCTTACGTAAAATGCGGGTCTGGCAGACCTTCATGGGAGAGCATTAGTAAAGAGACTATCTACTGCACAGTCTCTTGACCCAGAGTCCCTGGGCCAGTATATAGATATAGTAAGAGCTTGCTGACAGCCAAGCACAGACACCTCTCTGCATGCTTACCTGAACTGGGGAAATGCAGGTGCTGCATCTAGCATGGCTCTGCTGCATGTTAGGTGTTTCACAAATACAGAGTGCTGGTTACCCACCCCAGCATCCACGTCCCCATCCTCAGCAAAGTAACACTACCCTTATCTTGGGCAGTGATGCACACAGCTGAGAGAGCCTTTTCCGGCTTCCCTTGCAGCTAGACATGGCCAGGTGCCACAGTTCTACCAGATGGATGGGGGCATCAGGATTGCATGGGACTTCTGGGAAGACTGCATTAAAAAAGCAGATTCAGTGGTAAAGCCGCTTTGACTCATCTCTGCTTCCTCTCTGCTTTCTACACTTGGAATGTAAATTGTAGAAGTCATTCTGGTGGCCTTGGGAATGACCTTGAGAAACGAAGGTACCTGCTGAGTGTTTAAGAGGCTAGCTTCCTGTTGTGACAGACCACCTTGAATTTTCTTTATGTGGCAGAGAAAGAAACTTTCATCCTGTAAAAGTTTTAGTTACTTTAGGGTAGTAGTTCTCAAATTTTGGTGGCAAGCAAAATCAGCTGGGGTACTTGGTAATAATACCAAGGTCCAGGTCCCATGCTGCTTGAATGGGCATGGGTCGCTGGGTGCCAGATGATGCCAACACCCACCAAAGCTTTAAGCTTTTCCAGAACCAATGCTTCAGGCTTTTTTGTTCTAAGCTGCCCAACTGGATCTTACAGTTCCATTTGAGTGTCAACCCCTATACCGGTCACATGGCAGTCAAGATCAATTTTATAACACCCAATTTTATTTCATTTCTGATTAGAAGTAAAGATCAGACCTGAATAGGGTGGCTCACTGCCAAGATCATTTCCCATCCACCCTTCTAGGAAATAGCAGATGGTGCTGAACAGCTGCCTGCGCACAAGCTGCCTTGGCCTTCCCCCTTGTTCCTGTCCTGCCCTGCTCCTTGAATGGTGCCTGGGTGCAGCCACCAAGCTTCCACCCTGGAAGCTTCAGTTTGAGCCTAAGCAATGCTGTTTGCCTCCCCTGAGCGAGGAGCTCCAGGCCCCTTCCGTTCACCTTCCTCACCCTGGTGCAGAAAGGGCTGGATGAGGAACCACTGCTCTTGAGTTGCCCTTGGTCATTGAGGCTTCCCTGTGTCAACTTGCCCATCTTGAAAGCTAGCTTCCTTAGTGAGGGCTTCGGGTTCAAGGACAACATTCGGAGCCACCCCCTCCACCCACAGGTCAGTGGTTCAAGGTCAGAGTTTTTCTAAACAGTTTTCTGGCCACCTAGTTACTGTCCACTCTACTAGCCAGTAACCTCTTTTCTCTATCTCAAGTACAAAAGGAATGGCTTGTGCTCTTTCCTTCTCTCTTTCAGAGTATATTAACCCTCACCCCCCTCCTTTTGCTGTAAAATATTGGGCATGTGGATTGTGGAAAGAGAAGTTTACAGCCCACTTATCTCAAAGAAAAAAAACTGGTCTGGATCCACCTAGATACAAATTAGCATAATTCTTAAAAGCTCCATTTGTTGAGTTCAGACAGTAATTATAGAAATATGAGTTTTTATTATCTGGCTCTTTCTTTATATTTAGTTCCTGAGACTTAACCACCCATGTCTGTCTGTTCTGAGTAAAAGCAGTTGACAAACAGGTAATGCCTTTTTGGATGCCAGATACAGAGAAGAATCTCACAGACAAAAGAAAGCTCAGGTGAGTCATTCGCCACACCCTTATCTATCCCTGGAGGGATCCTGGCGCCAGGTGGCCCCAGCTAGAAGACCCCGGGGCTCTAGGCTTGCACTAAGCTTAGGCCAGGTCCCTGATACTTGAACCCCAGGGCAGTGGTGGAGCAGAGCTGTCTCCGGTCTGTTGCAGGTCCAAACACAGGTAGGTGGGAGCCAGGCAGGGGCAGGGATCTGCCCCAGACAGAACCCACCCAACACCATGGACTCACTTATTTATTTCTGGTAATGAGTGGCGTTCGATGAGCTGCCTCCTCCCCCGCGGATGGCGTGAACGGCCGTGGGAGATGATGCTGGGTAGTGTCCCGGGCGGATGGGCTTGGCTGTATCCAACCAAGAGAAAGGAGAGAAGAGACATTCAGAAAGGGCTTACACAGCCACACCCTGATACTTTCAGGCCACATGTGACAACCAAGAGGCATAATTCTTATCAACATTGCAGTTCACGAACACCAGAGTTTCTGAGAGCAAGTCTGCCCTCCTATTAGCACAGTTAGCCAAATGGGGCACCCGAGGTTTAGGAGACAGACAGAACTAACATATCAATTTCAATTTAATTCAGATTGAGGAAAATTAGAAACAAAGGACCTGCAGTTTTAGTCTGAGGCCGATCCATAGGCCCTCATGGGTTCCAAGAGCACCGCGTAGTCCCTGAAATAGGATGTAGAAATCTGCCTGCGGTGCATTTTTCTGGGGAGAGGGTCCATAGTTTCCACTAGGTTTTCAAAGGGTATGAAATCCAATAAAAGCAAAGGGTGAAAAAAATCTGATGAACTACTAATCTAAAGTATAATCTTAAAACTAGAAAGATGAAGTTGCCGGTTAACAAAACATCTGCAAAGTTACTATCTGATGGGCAATAATATTACATGTTATTGGAAATGTTTCAGTTCTTTAAAAAGCCCTCTAGGGAACATCCCTAAATCCCTTTTATTCCTATGGCTCTGTCCTGGGAACTATGACTTAGCAGCTACATGGCATTCCAGCTTGGGCAAAGCCCCAGACCAGGTCTTGAAGGGGCTGGACACTCAGGCCACTCCCCAGGTTAGAACCACGCCCACTCCTTGATGGCAGCCTGGGAGCCAGGACATTTCCAAACTTGCACTTGCAAGCAGCTTTCCCCCAAGCTTCTGGCTACGTATGCTCCTTCACAGTTGGCCCAGCCAGCGCGGGGTAGAAGGGGCCTTAGGCATTGCTGAGAAACAGCAGTATACCCGGGTATGTCTGACAATGTATCTCTGCTCACGGCTAAACACCTCACCTACAGCCTGGGCAGCCGGCCTCTCTGCTCAGCTCAGCAGCTTTCAGACCACAGTGCACTCTGGAATCTCTCAGTGGAAGGAGGCGGGTGCCCGATGGCTCCACTCTCCCTGGATGGGCGCAGGGTGCGGAGGCGGGGCCGCCCAGGTCCTGCAAGCCTGACCGCAGCCTCTCAGGTGTTCCAGAGCAACCTCCCGGGTCGCCTCAGAGCATCAGTGCTGCTGGCGGCGGGAGTCCTGGCCTTCTATCAAGGGCCCAGGAGAACGGGGCATATGACAGGCAAGAGGGCACGTACCAATCTGGGCCGAGTGGGCCCTCCGGGCCATGTTTTTGGCTCGCACGGCCTCCTTGATGCGATCCACCTCCTGCTGGTAGCGCTTGCGGTCCCGCATGGCGTTCTCCTTGGCCTCCTTCAGGGCGCTCTCCAGGGCCTTGACGCGCTCGGCCGTGGCGCGCAGCCGCTTCTCCAGCTTGGGAAGCTCACAGCGCAGGTCTGCGTTGTCCCGGACCAGCTGGGGCGGAGGGGGATGGGGGGAGTTAGCAGGGGCGCAGAAGGGCGGCAGGAGGGGCAGACCCACCTCGGGGGACAAAGGCTGTGACAGGAAAGCAGCTGGAAGCAGACTCTGCAACTGACTGACTACCCTGCCGGGTGGAAAGTCCATATGACCACAAACTCCAGGAAGAACAAAGGAATATAAAAATCCCATTCTCTGGGACTCCAATTTACTAAATACATGGTTCCCAGGTGAGAGGAAGGGAGGAGGGGTATAAGATCAAATTAAAGGCCATTTCCAGCCACAGGAAGCTTTCAGACTTGGGCAGGGTTTACTTCCTCTCTTGTTTGAGTGGGAGGGGGAAGTAGTATGAGAAAGCAGGACTCTGACTTGAGCATGTGAAAGCTAAGAAATGTAAAGCCACGGCCCACAGCGGAAGACGTGTTCTAGAGCTGTTGGAGGGCCTCCTTCCATGAGGGACCCACTGTCTACAGCAGCGTGTGGTTGGGACCACGCTCTGCAGCATATCAGAGGCACCAGGGACCTCAGGGTACTGCTCATTCTCTCGTTACTTGAGGTCTTCAACTAAGAAGCAACAGGCTCGCCCTGAGTCAGGAGTGGGCTCTCACTTCCTGGCCGACTGACTTGGTGTAAGTCATCTGACCGCTAGGGTTCCTCATCTATGCAAAGGGACATAACAGGATCAACGTGGGACTCCAAGTGGATAAAAACAAGTTTTGAAAATCAGAATGTTCCATATGAAGGTTTCACTGTTGCTGGGTTTACACCAGTGTTCATTTGTCACCTGTTTATCCCCAGCATGAGTTCTAGCACCTGGCAGGGTAGGTTTTTAGAAAACCTTCATTGAATTCAAAAATAAAATAATTAATAAATGTCAGAGCTCTCTTTCCTGTCAATTTTTACTTTTATACTTCTCATCTATGATTTGTTTGAATGACTTCAACTATGCTGAATGTGTGGTGTTCTCTCTAGGGAAAAAAGCCACTATTATAAGGCTGAAGAGGACTTAAGTCAAAGAGAAATGACATCCCCTTGGCCGTGTGGCCCATAAAGATGGACTGTTTCTATCATATCCCAAATGTTTAGAATTTAGAGAACGCAGTCATGAATATTCCAGCATTTACACAGAAAGGAGACACATAACCTGCCTAAATCACCATTGGTTTGGACGTGATTACTGCTCTCCGTGACTCTAGACAGACTCTAGGGCATCACAAGAACCTGCAAGGGTGCCCAGAAACAGAGCAATGGAGCAGAGACGGACCAGTCCTGCTCCCAGCTCTCCCACCCAGTCTGTTTCCTCATCTCCAAAAGCAAGGGGCCTGGACCAGCTCGGCGGCGTCCACTCTGCCTTCTGGGAGCCTTGGAGTCCGCAGAGGAGCCTCAGAGGCATCATGGGAGACACCAGTGCTAGTTGGGGACTAAGGTTTGTACTGGAGGTGGGAGGAAAAGGCAGAACGAACATCCCACTCTCCAAACCCCACAGAGCTCAAATTCAATTCCTGACCTTGGCTTTGATAAAATCAAGTATTTTATACATAAGGGAGTCACGGAGGACAAAACGATTTCGAGGACCATACTGGCACTAACGTCCTTCAATTATCAGAGCCTCCTGCCTGCACCGTGGTCAAATCTTACGGAGCTGCTTTCCAGGAGAGGCAGAGAAGCTGAGGAAGCCGCACGGCTCTCCTACCTGTTTGTGAACCTTGGTGAGCTGCTCCAGGTTATTCTCCAGGAAGGAAATTTTCTGCTTCTGGGCGGCACTGCCCCCTCCATCATCGCTGTCCAGCTCTACACTCTGCGCCAACACCAAGGGGTCAGCGAGACAAGCCTTCACTCCGCCCACCCTCCACCCCAGCCTAGTGTGGATGATACGTTCTAAAGCTTCTTTTTTAAAAAATTCCCAATTCTTCTAAAGGTTATTCTGAAAACAAAAATAAACAGAGGCTCTAAAAGCTTAGACTCAACAAACTTCCTAAATAAGTTCCCTCTTTGGTGTCAAAAGTGTTAGAATTGTTATTTTTTTAAAAGACTGAAATAAAACCTTTAAATCTTCTTTTGAAAGATACAGCTTAGTTCTCTTTGTGGCATATACCTCTCCTTTGCAGGGAGATAAACAGAGACTTTTCTTTTCAAAAGGAAGTGTCTCAAAACTCATTAAGAAGAACCAATATGAAAATATAAACCCAAGCCCTAAAGTGGATTTCAAACATCACAACTGAGGTAAGTCACCGAGCCGTGGGCAAGTGTCTGCTCACTGGGAGGTCTCAGTGACCCCTGTTCGTCCCTTCAGCTTCCGCTTCCATTAAATTCCTAATGGATTCCTCTCAAACTAGTCACAGCATCCAAGTGCTGTGCTGGGTAAACTTTTAAATGTATCAGAACTGGAGATTGGCAAAAACAGGGCCCTCCAGATAGTGCCAAGCTGAGCAGCCAGACAGGTTACAAAATATACATGCAACCACAAAAATCGAACAGCATGCTTGCTTCGTCTTCATCTGATTACAGAAGAGATCAGTTATCCTTTTGCGCATCTCACACCGGTGTCTCTTCAGTCTAAACCACGGTCCTCAGATGTCACGAGGAGGAGGATTCGGTAGAACTCAGGTTGCTGGGCCCACCCCCAGTCTCTGATCCAGTGGATCTTGGCGGGGTCTGAGAATCTGCATACCCAGCAAGTTCCCAGGTGCTGCTAAAGCTGCTGACCGGGTGACCACATCTGGAGAACTACCAGTCCCTCCAAGAGTTTGATATCATGAAATTGGGGGAAGTCTCATCTCAAGCTCTTTGCCCTCCTTCCAACCACTCCCCCCTCGAACTGAGCCTTTTCGGCTCCTGTCATAACTGCTGGTCTCCCTCTCCATCCCCTCTGCTCTGGCCTCTCTCTTGCACCCGCGTCCAGGTCCTACAGCCAATTCCAGTTTGATGACTGTGGCTCCTACCTACCTGCCTGACCTCTGCCTTTAAGGCCTTGAAATCTCTCATCGTCCTTTATGCCCTTTTCTTCATTTTTATGTCCCAGCTTCCAAGCTCACTAGAACCATGCTGTCAGGGGCCACGGCAAACCCAGGACCCTCAGCTGGACCCTCGCGCTGCTGCTCGGCAGTTTTTACTCATCCCCGGCAAGTTCCTCCCAGCTGCCTGCGTCTTCTCTAGTCTCCACAGGCTCCCCATTCTCTTCCATCTGCATTGAGGACGGAGCCTCCATGTTAACTGAGATCATGGTTGTCAGATGCTTCTCTTTCTTCTGTTGCCATTTCCCTGCAAATGTCTCCCTTTTGACTTCTCCACTTCCCTCTGGGAAAATATGTCCCTTCCCCTTACTCAGCCTAACACATCCACCTGTGCTCATAACTCTCACTCTATCAATAACCTCATCTTTTTTACACATTTCACTTTTTCCTTTGGCTCCTTCACAGGCATACGTGCACACATACGTGCACACATGTGCATGCACACGCACACACACACTTTTGTTAAGTGTAGCTTCCTTCCCTCCTATTATGCCTCTGGACATGGCCCATGGCCCCTTGTCCATCGCTTTTAAAGATCCTGAGGCGTGGCCCCCTTGCTCCCCTCCCTCCTTAAGCCTCTTCAAGCTGCTGCTGGGGTTCACCACAGGGCAACTCCCTGCAGCCAGTGTGACATGAGGACCCACGAAATTCAGATCCAGGAGGCACACAGACCTGCATGCCAGTCCTGTCTCCGGCTCTTCCCTGCTGTGCCACCGTGGGAAAGGTATTTAACCTCTGAGTCTCCCTCCACATCCGCAGCGCAGAACACTAGGAACCACTCACACGATTGCTGGGAAGGGCGTGAGACACTGGCTGTTACAGTGCCTCACACCCTGAGGCCGAGCCCCCAGCGGCCTCCTACCAGGCAAGCCTGAGGCTCTCGCCTCTCCCTTCTCTCGGCACCTGGCACTGCTCGGCCGGCGTTGGGGCAGCGCTGTCTGATGAGGCCCCTCCGGACTGTCCCTGCGTCACGCACCGTGGCTGCCACACTGCGGCCAGATAAGATTGCATTCGTTGGAAATGAAGGCCAGGGAAAGGACTATGACTTCCTTTTACTAAGAAGGAGAAATCAGGTGGCAAAAGGTTCCCAAGTAATTTTTGCTCCTAGCACGTTCTTTTAATAACATTTGCTGCCATGAAGTAATTAATGTTTAAGCATAACCAGCCCCAATTAAGCAACTGATATTTCATCTGAAAATGATTCTTTCTGGCCACCTTCTCAGTCCCATTCACACAAAATCGAACTCACTTTTTTAACCCGAGCGGTCAGATCCTGGACAAAGAGTTTACGGAGGTTATGCAGAGTCTGCAGTTCCCGAGACTAGAAGAGAAATGGTTGAAATGCCACATAAGTGGGGAACACACTGCATTTATAGCCCGTCTGGCACTAGACCACCTGCTCTGCAAGCCCACAGTCCGGGCACTGGTGTCCCCACACTCCCTCTGACCTGCCCACCACACACGTCACCCCGCTGCCTAGCGTTATCCCAACAGCACCCCAAGGAGCAGGCGCTGGGAACTCACACAGTGAGCTACAAACTAGAACAAAGCCTGCTCCTTTGCTGTGTTCTAAGTGGAACCTTTGTTTCCATCTCAACCACAAAAATGCAAAAGTTTTCTCACTGAAATTCCCAGGGGCTACGTTACCAGAATGGATTTGCCCCGTCAATTTCTCACCTACACATTATATATAATGTCAACAAGGTTAAATGAAAAGTTATCCCCAAAATCTTCCCCCCAACTGACCGATTTTCACGTTTCCGCACCCGCCCCGGCCCTGGTCCGCAGGTCTGCTGCCCTGCGTCACTGTCACTGAGCGTGTGGCTGAGGCTCCGGGCAGCCTTGCCGCCCTGGTGATCCCGGGCCACTTCTCTAACCTTTCTGAGCCTCAGTTTTCTTATTTGTAATGTGGGGACAGAAAGAGTAGTTGCCTCATAGTTGCTGTCCTCAAAACAAAATAGATGATCTTTATAAATCTCTTACAATAGTTCTTGGCACGCAGTAAGTCCTCAGTAAACATTAGCCAGTATGAATCTATTGATGCGTCATACTTGACAGCTATTTCCTCATTAGGCTTTCATTGTTTCTTTTTGTTGTTGATGTTAATTTTCAGTGTAACTAACTTCTTCGAGATGTTTTTTTCTCCATTTTGAATTATTTTCCACAAATGAACCTTTACAAATTAGATAGATTGCTGAGACAGGGGCCTGAGTCAAACCTGCTGACTTTTGTTAGTAAGATCAGAAAACCAAAATACTTCCTTCCATTTAAGTCTCCATGTATTATGATTAGTTCCTTGCAAAATATTTTCCCATAAAGGAGAAGAAAGATAAACTCGCATTTATATTTTTTCAGTGTGTCTAAGTTGACCTACTTTGCCATGAAATGTCCAGGGATGAAGCTCATTCATGCTCACAGAAAAAAGGAAGAAAAAGGCTACAGAACTATGGAAACACTAAGTTTCTTGGAATAAAGATTCTACGTTAATTTAGGTCTTATTACTGGGTTCAACTCTGCAATTCTGCGTTGAAATAAGAAGCACCTGAAGCCAATTTTTTTCTCTGATGAAGCAAATTACTTTCCGCAGGAAGCCAAATGGGTCTGTTACTGTGAATGCTGTGCACAGGGTACCTGTCACAGGCTCAGCCGCCTTCCAGGGCAGGTGCAGGGGGGCAGCCCCGGCTCACACTCCACAGTCACGCCCCTCCCCACCCCTGCCTGGGAGGGCTCAGCCCCCAACCCCCGCCCTCCCGCCGTGCTTGCTCTCCCTCCCACCTTGGGATTTAATTACTGCCTGAACTGTCATCACTGGAACGATTTTCCAAGAAAAATGCCACCGCACTAAAGGGAAATGAGAAGAGAAGTCACAGTGTCTGGTCAAAGGGCTGGGCATTTCCTTGGGCATAAGTTTGGAATAATATAGAATCCTGAGCTTGGGGAATTCCCTCATGTTTGTTCTTAGGTGAATTCAACAGTGTGGGAGGAGTAGCCAAAGATCTTTAGAGTAGTTTGTAAGTTATGCTTATGCACATTTATGCTTAGGCAACTCTCACTTGGCTTCCTATGGCCTATTTTCCTCCATCCTATTCATTACCGCATCACACCAACCCCGCCCCAACTCGCTAGCCTCGGGTCTTTCCCCATCCCAGGCCACTGCCCTCTGTGTAAAAGCTCAGGGCTTGGCTTGCTGTCACAGTGGACAGTGAGGGGGCACCGGAGAGGTGGAAACAGGAGGCCCACCAACGTGGAGGAGGTTTCCAGCCCCGGAGCCCAGACAGTGTCCTACTGAAGCCAGATGGCTGCCTGGGGAGCCAGGGATGCTCAACGGCCGCTCGGCCTTTTCCCACGTCGGCCCCTGGAGGGGGCTTCAGAGTCACCCCTGGTCAAAGTCCCATCCCCTGTCCTGCCCAAACACTCGGGGAGACAGGACAGGCCTCAAGGACAGCCAGCCAAGGATGGTGAGCCTGTTTCTGAAGAACATTTACAGCCTGGGGAAGATTATGCTGGAAAATGAAGTGAAAACACCCAAGACTAAAAAAATGGCACATACTGCGGGGTTCCAAGCTTAAGTTTAAAAAAGCACGTGTGTGATGTGAGTGGTGAGGGAGTCAGAGAAAGCGCGGGCGCCCCGTCAGTGGGCTGCCCCGGGGCTGTGCCACGTGCGTGTGGGGGCGGGGGGAGGGAGCCCGCGGGCCGGTGTGAGGCCCGCCCGGGACTATGCAGTCACACATCAAAAAGGCAGGAGAATATGCTCAGGAGTGAGCATCAAAGAGAAACCATGAGAGTGACAGAGTGGTGGGGGGAGGGGTTTGTGAGTAAATGTGTGAGTTACGGAGAGTGAGCGTGTGGAAGTGAATGCGTGTGTGCCAGTGACAGCATGTAAGAGAGAGGGACTGAGCGCGGATGCTTTCTCGTGAGTCAATGTAAGTGTGCGGACGTGAGTGCACGTGGGCCTGTTCGGGGGAGCACACTGCGTTAGGGCACCTGTGCCGGGGTATATGAGTGAGTGTGTAAATGAGTGTGGGTGTGAGCAAGGGCGTGCGTTGAGGGTGATTAAGAACTGAGAGTGAACGACTGCATGAGAGTGGTGTGTGAGTGAGCAAAAGTGTGAGTGTGCAAGTGAGGAAGTGTGAATGACCCTCGGTGAGTGTGTATGAGTGTCGTGGGGGTGTACTGAGTCAGTGTGTGTTAAGTTGTAAGCACTTGAGGGTAATGAGGGTGAAGGCATGTGAGCACGAGGACGTGCACAGGCATGAGAACAGGAAAGCGAGGGCCTGTGAGCACATGTGTAGTGCGGTGTGACTGTGTGAAGTGTGACTATGATGCGGGGTGTGCGTGCATGGGAGAAAGAGAGACTAAGCAACTTCACACGTGTGAGAGCAAGCACGTGAGAGACGGCGCCGGAACAGGGTGACCGAGTGCGAGGGCGTGGAAGGGCAGGCGTGGCGGGTGAGAGGGCCCCAGAATTCGTGGGTGGGAAGACGGAAAGACACGGAAATATCATTTATATCCGGCTGGTATGAATATACTAGCATTTTAATGTTCGGTATTTTTTTTATTTTGTATAATTATCTATGATTACGGATGTCCCTTCTCCAGGAAGACAAACACAGACAAAGCAATTCCATGGCTTCACTTTTGTTTTGTCCACCAAGCTTGAAAGGTCCGACTTCCTTTTTAACAGCGTCTCCCTTCTGCCCTGGAAGGCTACGCCCTTCGTTCCCCCACCTGGCTCTGAGCAGCACCTCGCACAAGTGCAGCCTCCTGTCCCTTCCTCAGCAGCCACACACCCTCTGAGCCCACAGCCTGGGGTCACCAGGTTCTTGGAGACAGCCTCAGTCCCCCATAAATTCACATGCCACGTGAATGGCATAAAAATGTATGACCATATTTAAACAACAGTTTCTCTCTGCTGTTGTAACGTGATATGACTGGACATGTTTCACCAAATTGAGAGGCTATGTTGGGATGGCCTGCCTTCAGACACAGGCCACGTGGCACCTCAGAGGGCCCTCCGGGCCTGCAGGGCCAGGTGGCTGTCCGCCTGAGCAGCTGAAACGGAAGCTGACCAGAGGAGACAAACCCAGTGAATTCAGATGCCGGCCAGAGAAAACTGACCACAATCTCAAATGATGAGCCCTCCCAAAGGCGAATGGTCTGCCGCCGCTCCGCCCCAAACCCTGGAGGTCTCTGAGCCCCCTGGCTTCTCCGCGCCTATCTCCTGCCCACTTTTTGCTTGGCCACCGCCACACTGACTCCCTGCTGTCCCACAACGCACCAAGGAGGGGCTCACCTCAGGGCCCTGGCACGAGCTGTTGCCTCTGCCTGGAAGGCTTGGCCCCAGACACCCCCCGGCTCGCTGCTTCAAGCCCCTGCTCAGATGTTTCCTCCTTGTTGGGCCTCCCCGACCACCATGCTCAGCACATTCTATAACCAGCCAATGCAGTTCAGAATTTACTTCCTTACTGTTCACTGTCTGTCTCCCCCCAGCTAAAAGAGCGCTTCACAAGAGCCAGGATCTTGTGTGTTGTTTATTATGCAGCTCAAGCACCTAGAAGAATGCCAGCCCTTAGTAGGTGCTTCGTAAATATCTGCTGAATGTTGAATGGAAGTAAGTCACAGAGTGCAGAGTCTATAAAAGCGTAGGCATGGATTTGCAATTTAGTTCAATTCTTACTCAGGGGTTCCAGGGTTACAGTATTAAGGGTGGGTGAGTGGGTGGGTGGATGGATGGATGGATTCTGTCAAGAGATAGGAAATAAACTCTACAACTCTCACTTTTCCACAGTATTTTGTGTCTCAAATGATACACAAAAGGTATGCGGATAAAATTTTAGAATAAACGAATTCAACAAGTCATAAACTAATCTGGTCTTTGAGACTAAAATGAGTTAACAAACATGTTTACGTACCACTGTTTCTTCCAGCCCTTTGAGGTCCTCCCGGGCTTGCTCCCTTTTGTCATTGAGCAATCTAAAAAACAAAAAGGGACCCTGAACCACCAAAGGGGCATCAGAGATCTCCGCAGGTGCCACTGACATCTGCAGATAAATCAACAAAATGAACCAATTCACACACACACAGCCATCGTCTGTTTTTAAATTGGCCCAACCTAACCAGGATATTTGGGTACCTGAATCACAAAGGTAGACTTTTTACGACTTTGCTGGGATGAGAGAAAACAGAGAAAATGTTTAAAGTGCACTCACAAGAGCTTTTCTAGTTTCATCTCTCTCTCTTGGTCCTCTATTTTCAGCTTGTTATAATCAGAACTGAGCTTCTCTTGTTCCAGTTGCAGTTTCTGATTCAAACTGAAATTGAGAGGAAAAAGCAATACATTCTACATCAATCTGAAATTCCAAGTCCTCCAGCTAAAGACATGGTTCTGTTCCAACCCCATTAGTTCTGTGCAATAAAAGAGGCAATCCTGGAGGATTTTCAGAGATCAGAGAACAAACTCACACCTCCCTCCCTGCCCAAGCGCAAACGAATTTCTGGGGAACATCCGAGAGGCCTGAAACACAAGGCTTTGAGGGTATATTTATAGTTGGCTTGCGCGAGAGCTTCAAAGGGAAAATAATGAGACAAGAAAAGGCTGATATTTTAAAACAGAAAGAGCGCCTGTCAGAAAATTCTACAGACGTCATACACCCACTCAGGGAACCTTATTTGGCCATTTCAACTTTCCCTTCCTCTCTGGTCCCATGTTCTGAAAACATCACCTAAATCCAAATTCCTGCCTGACAGGGACAGTTCCACTCGCAGTGTCCTCGAGGAGGGAACGGAGGGAGGAAACAACGTCTAGCGTTTCTGCAGAAAACCATGTGGCCAGGGGCATCTGGTCAATGCTGACATCAGCCCAGCATTTTACAGGCCCTTGTGTTGGTCTAGGTGACTGTAAAGGACAGGCCATACCCCCTCTGAAGGAAAACGCAGAGAATGCCCCGCCTACTAACCCGATCTCCAGCCCTCCCTCTTTCTCGCCTTCCTTCCTTCCTCCCTCTTTTCCGCTTCCAATTGAACATTTTGAGGGTGACTAATCAGGATAATGAACTTGAGACACACTTGAAGGAGAAAGCACAGCCCAAACGACAGCACAGCAGTGGCCCAGGGGAGAAGGGGAGAGGGGACGCTGCGCTGTTCTCAGGCGGACGGTGTGCAGGGGTTTACACTTTTGTTCTAGTTACCGTTCGCCTCTTTTAAAATGCAAATGTGCTGTGTGAGCAGCTCACAGACATTGAAGAGAGATTTGGATCAGCAGCCTGGAGAATTAAACTCTAAGTCCAGTTTCGTTCCTACTTGGCAGTGTGACCCTAAGTAAATCATTTCACCTTGTTCCCATACAGAGGGTTCTTCACTTACAGAAAACGGGAGGGGACAGAACCTTTGGTCTAGATCTGGGGGACAGGGCCGGGGGTGGGGGGAGGTGTCAGTGGGCAGAACTGTATTTCAACAAAACTGGTTTTCTTTGTTTTCCTACGCCTTTTATTTGGGGCATTTAAAAACATTATTCCATAAAGAGGTTCAAAAATTGCTAAGGAGCTCACTGTGCAAACAAAACATTAAGGAGCCTCAGGACAGGATCCCGAAGGCACTTCCCAGCTTGGTGACCTGTGTGATGAGGGGGTGAGTGGTCAGAGAGGAAGAGGGAGAGGCCATTACGGAAGATGGGCTCAACAGCTGGGACCGGAGAGGGCCTTGAGAGGGTGTCAACAGAGACAAGCTGCAATGCTGCCACCCTGGTGAAAGCCACAGGTACCAGAGTGCAGACACATGACATTGTGGGTCCCTAAGAGGTGTGCATGTGCAGCCAGGTGGCTTGGAGTTGTCCTGTGTGCATGCATGTGCTGGGGTGAGCACCTGGCGGAGCTGCCTTCTCGGGAGTATTTTTTAACCTATCCGAACCCCTGAGTCAGGACCAATTTAGAGTTTGGGGGTGGTTTGTACTTTTCATAGTGTCCCCACCTACTGGAACGTGTGTCTGCCGAGATGAGTCACCAGTATGATCCTGCTCCTCAGGGACTGGGGAGGGCAGCTGGGCACACCTGCCACCTGTCCCACCAGTGCCCCTCGAGGCTCCGCTCCAGAGCGGGGAACAGGCCTGGGGAACAGCATGTCTCGCCACTGCGGCCCAGAGCGGGCACAGGGCCCAAGGGGCCAAGAGATCAGAGGCCCTGGCTGAGAGCCACGTCCTTGCAGGCTGGCCAGGAGCCATGCCCACCCCCACGCCCCTGTGCCAACTCACTCCCGAATCTCATCGATGATCCTCTGCTTCTCCTCGATCTCGTCCCGGAGTCGGGACAGCTGCCTCTGGTGGGCCTCCCGGTGGCTTTCCATCTGCTGCTCCAGCGCCTTCTGCAAGCCGGGCCGGGAGAACACGTCAGGCCCTCGCCAGCCCTCAGCCCGCGAGGAGACAGGTCCTGCCCACACCCCCCAGGGTGGGCGGGACCTTTACTTTTTAATTTTTTTAAATTAAGAAGTAAAAATCTTATCTTCCAATCATTTTTTTCCTACATTTTTCTTTACTGTTTAAACTGGAACAAAAAAATAAAATAAAATCTCTATGTTTAAGATGGAAATTCAAATTTGGGGTGTTTCTTTGAAAAGGTAGAGGCGAGAGCAGTTTTCTTCCATTCAAAGGAAGGACAAGCATTTCTTTAGGAGTTAACCTAACGGCGTGGCCCGGGCCGTGACCGGGAGGTGCTTCTCTTTCCCTCTTTGTCAGGTACAGGAAAGAAAAATGCATGAAAGCAGCTCAACTACTATCTACAAACATCTCAGGGTGTCTGGACACCTCCATCTCCAGCTCATTTCTGAACCAGAGACCGGCTCGGACTGCCCGGCCGGGGTCCCTCCCTGCTCCCTCCTCTGCTGCCACACACATTGCTCAAGGAGACAGATTTTCCTGGAACAAGAAAACCCAGTCCAAATGCACGCCGGGCTCAGGGAAGGGGCGGCATACACACCTTCATTTCCTCAGCGTCCTGCAGCCGCGTCAGATGTTCCTTTTCCTTGTCCTGGAAGCTGACCTCGTGCATTTTTTCTGTTTTGAATTTTAAATGATGATTTCAGATTTAACTGAGAGTATTCTCCCCCAAAGTAAAAATTAAAAAACAAAAACAGAAGAATGGTAATGGCATGGAACCTCAGCTTATATCACCGATCACAACCAGGGTGTGCAGGGATGTCCCTCTGGAGGCCGACGGCTCCTGGGACCCGACCTGGGTCCTTGTGGGGGAGGGGCGAGTGTAGGGGCAAGGGGCTAAGTTGGAGTGGGCCACTCACTCTTCAACCGACTTGCACCTCAGCCTCAGAGCCCCGGTTCCCCACCGGGCCTTGTGAGTGACCCCTGAGGCAAAAACGTGCTTTGTAGATTATAAACAAGCTTTGCAGGTTATAAACGTGCTGTATAGATTATAAATGTGCTTGATAGATTGTAAATGTGCTTTGTAGATTATAAAGCACCCTGTGAATCTTAGTGGCATTTGGATTGATGCCACTATTAGCGTTCCAGAAAGATCTAATTTACCTCCCATGGGTAAGCTGTTCATTCTCTAAGAATCTGGAGTAGGAAAACAATCTATGGATAGGAACAAAGAAAATAGAAATATAAAATAACACTCTCCAGATTAAACACGAAGGCCCCATATTTGGGACAGGCTGCTGTCTGATACAACTGGGTCAAAGGGGACAGTCCCAGCCTGTCCTTGGTCAGTGGCCCCCTGAGCACACGGTGCAATGGGCAGCCTGAGTTGGCGGTGCGGGTGGAGGGAGCAAATGATTGAAGACAGTGACATTCAAATCATTAAGTTTCCTCTCTTATCTGTTCCACTTTATTTCAGGGTCTCCTGCTTCTATTTTATTTCCACTCAGGGGCGGCACTGCAGAAGCCATTTACAAGAGGAAGAAGTTCTTTTCTGTGTCAGGTTTTGGGTCGAGCTATTCCTAACACTCATCCGTTATCACATAAGGAAAACATGACAAGATCGCAGCTGGGGTGGGAATATTCTTTCTTTTTGAAATTTGCCTTGGCATTTGAATCAAAATGTATTTACTGAGCAAATAACTATATAATCATAAAGGAAATAAAAAAGGGTAACATCATCACCAATCCCATCACCCTACCGAAGCCTTTTAATTTCAAATATTAGTTTGTAGGCCTTGAAACACAGCATCCATTGATTTCTAAGTGTTTTAACAACAGCAAAACAAAAATCACACATTCTGGTTTTTAATCTCAGGTCACACTGTAAGCATTGCTGCAGCCTTCATCTACTTGATCTCCAATAGGAAAAAATTTTCTACTGAACAATGCGCCATTCTTCATTTAACCTTTGGACATTTAGGTGGTTTCCTTTTTTTCTACTAAGTAATTCTGCAATGAATATTTGACATTTGAGGATCACAATGTATGAAAAGTGTTATAACTATTACATGTGCTTTTCAAAATGCTTTCCCAAAGGACTTCAACAATTTTCATTGCAACCCATCCTATGTGTTTTCCCATTTCACCACAGCACATACGTCTGCAATCCCTTTCCGGTTTCTGCATGTCTCGTCCCCCACCTCTCTTGGACGTCTTCTATTTATTCAGATTTATCGAGTACTTCCTATGTGTCACGTGCTCCCCTAAGCAAAGGCTGCCTGGCAAAGCCAAGAGCTTGTTCAAAGCCTGGAGGATGCAGCTAAGCTAAGGCACGGGGTTGGGCACAAGGTAAGTTTGACTTTAGAAGAGTCCCTTTGGTGGCAGCACAGTGGCCAGCCTGGAGCAGACTGGGGGTGGGAGCCTCAGTGGATGGACACAATCACAATGCTTAGTTCGGTTAATGGTAGGGACAATGAAGATGGAGAAGAGCAGAACCAAAGGAGCATGTGGCAGGTCAAAGAGGCCTGGTCAAACGGGAGGCTGGGGTTGGAGAAGAGGGAGGATTCCGACTCGGGCAGCTGGGTGTGCAGAGGGAAAGTGGGAAGTGGAGCAGAGATGGAGGGCAGTCTTCTAAATGATGCCCCACTCCACCAATTATGCTATTGTTTTGAGTAGGCCTGGAAATCACTTTAATGGAGCAAAACTAAACATCGTGTGTTCAGTCATCCAGAGAGGGCCTGCCTTAGGCCAAGAGTTTGACATCTGCAAAGTAGTCAGTTATTTACCTTGGGCTCGGAGCTTGGCCAGCTCTTCACTGAGCGAGTCTTGGGACTCTTCCAGCTGCCTCCTCTTCTGTTCCATGTTCTGCATGTAGTCTGTCAGGGATTTGATCTTGGCTTCGTGCTTTAAAGAGGAGATAGATTAAAAGGAGGAATGAAATGACTAGCCGGTGGTCTTCTCAGCTTGCCTGGGACTGTCCAGTGGGAAAACACAGTGGAGGACGCGTCCCTGAATCCCTTTTTGAGTCCCAGTACCCAACGTGCACATATTCTGCCCTGTGCTTAGGATCTGGGATCACAGACTAACAGGGTCCTCTGTTTCTTCCCTGTGCTTCTCTGCTTTGCCCCCCGCCCCACACCCCTCACAGCCACACTCCTCTTCGCCATCCATGTTAGTGAGATGCCAAAGCCCAGGCTGTTTTTCCTCCTCACAGAGACCAGAGTATGCTGGAGAGAAAGGGACAGGGAAATGCCTCGGGCGAAGGGCTTCCTCTTTTAAACCTGCACCTCTGGATTGCATCTTTATAAGTCAAATATCATGGTTTTTCTTTTTCTGTCCCTCAAACTCACCAATACCTGTCTCATGGACTTTGCATTTTACAATTTCCTCTCCCTGGTAAGCTCTCCTCCCATCCCTCCCAGACAAGGACCTGGTTAGATCCCTGTATCACTCAGACCTGATTATTTTCTTAAAGCACTGAACTTTTGCATAGCTTATCTTACCCATTTTCTTATTTGTTAGCTCCATGAGGGTAGAGTACATGCTTAATAAATACTAGTGGGATGAAGAATGAATGAATGAATGAATGAAGTTCCTAGACTGAATGGAGACAGTAGTCACTTCTAGGCAGATGGAAATATGCAGACACTTCCCCCTCCAGAGCTACAGAGTTCACATTTAGGCAGAAAGACCCAGCAGACCAAGCTCTAATCTAATCTAATGAAATGACCTCTGAGAAGTGGGACTCTGTTGGTGCAGTTGTTTTACAAGCACAGCTTTTGGTCAGGAGGATGAGTATAAACAAAGATGATAATAGCATTTTAGCTGGCAATATTTTGTCAGATTCCTTAGGTCGTGTCAGAAAATAGACAGCCAAGTTTTCTCTTAATTTTGAACCCTAGGAAACAATGATTGAATCTTTAGCTTTGTGTGTTATAGCAGAGTACAAAATAGAACCTAATGGAAAGCTGTACTTGTGACTAGCGTAGAGAGCCCTACCTGACTTAGGTATTCTTTAACCCAAAACATCCTCGTATTCGTCACTCCCATTTCACATTCCCAAAGTCAGTGTTACTCTGAAGACCCAGGCACCTGGAGCCCCCATTCTGGGCTCCAAACTTCACAGCACCCCACGTAGGCCGTCCTCTGGCCGAGCCGCATCCCAGCGAGCATGGCCCGCCCGGAGCGCACACCCTGTCTAGAGCGCTCTGAGCACCGGGAGCCCAGAGACTCCCTCCCCCCGTAGCGCCGGGGCCACCCCTAGGCCCGGTGCTGCTGCCTCCACATGTATTTCAACAGAGTACGGAGGACGCAGGTGCACGGTTCCCTCAGATCCCAGAAAGCGCAGCTGGACTTGGATGTGGAGGCTGGTAGATCCCCATGGAAAGAGAAGACAGAGGCTACGAGGGCTCTATTTGCGCTCTGGCTTTGGCCTCCAAATGGCAGGCGCGGCGCTGCCCAAACGCACATGAGAGTAATATCAGATGGGACCTGGAAATCATACAGGAGGTGCACTGTGCCCTTATGTTTACTGTTTTTTCTTCTCAATTTTTAAGAGTTATATAAACAGTAAAACAGTAAAGCAAGCCCAGAAAGAATGGTATAAACTTCACCCCTAAACCACTCTAACTTATCCTCCTCATATTTCCTCCGCATATTCCTGGTCTTATCTATATGAATGCATATTTTACAAAGCTGCAGAGCATATGACAGGTACTACTCAACATTTTCATTTTCATTACCTTTATATAATGGTACTTTCCAAATGGCTAGGTTTAATCATTTTTTAATTTTTTCCTTTTTATTGAATTTATTGGGGTGACACTGGTTAACAAAATTATACAGGTTTCAGGTGCACAAACGCACAACATATCATCTGTCCACTGTAGTGTGTGTTCACCACCACAATTCAAGTCTCTGTCCACCACCATTTATCCCCCTGTGCTCTCCTCCACCTTCCCCCCGGCTCCCCAGCATTATAATTTTATTTGTAAAGGCAGCATAATTTCTTCCATATAACTTTACGTTATTACTCTATCAATAAATATTTGAGTAATATTTATTTACTCTACCTATTTTATTTTATCATAATGTAAGAAATATTGCATTCACATCTTTTATATAAGCTTCAATTTTTTAATCAGGAAATGATAATACTATATGAAACAAAGAATGTTCATTTTTATTACCAATTAAAAATACCATAAGTGAAATTACTGGACCAGAGTATGCGGTCTGCGTGGAAAAAGTCTAGCCATTGTTAATATAAGAATGGTTTGTGTGACACTGATATAACCAAGGAGAGTGGACTAGAATGTGCACGCGTGAACAATGATGACTTCACTGTACTAGTCAGTGGGAGCAGTAGACACCAGTGAGTGAGCACATGTACTGTGTGGCCATCACATTCAAAGTGACTAAGTGAGTAGAGCAATGAATCTGCATCGAATTTTATGTTCAGCTTGAACATTCCTCCATGGAAACTACTGGGATGATTCAGAAGGCCAAACCGATGGGCAGCTGGTGATTGGCGGCTTCATCATAACAATGTGCCTGCTCATGCATCACTTCTCGTGCAGTTTTTGGCGAAGCACAAAATTACCCAGGTGACTCAGCCCCACTACAGCCCAGATTTGGCACCTGCGACTTCTGGCTTTTCCCAAAATTAAAATCACTTTTGAAAGGGCAGAGATTTTAGACCATTGATGGGATTCAGGAAAATACAATGGGGCAGCTGGCGGTGGCTGGGAGAACTGTGTGAGGTTCCAAAGTTCTACCTGAAGGAGACTGTGGCATCACTGACCTATGTATAATGTTTCTTGTATCTTCTTCAATAAATGTCTCTATTTTTCATATTACATGACTGGATACCTTATGGATAGACCTCGTATACTTATATTATTCATGGTTTTTGATTCCCAAGGTGCCTTTCAAAAGGACTGACCAAATCATACTTTTTTTCAACAATGTATATAAATTCCACTATCACTCACTAGCATGAAATAATCTTTTCAATATATTTCTGCTTATTATGTTAGTTATAAAATGGAACCTTGACGTTTTAATTGCATTTGTTAGATTATTACGGTGGCAGACAAGGATGCTGCAGATGGTTCTATGATTACATATTACCATTACGTTTAAAAGCGTAAGAGAATGAGGTATGTGCTTATCTGCCTCTCAGCCCTGTTTGATACCCCACTCCATGCTGACACATACCTGTTCCCCCAAATGACTTCAGCTGTTTTAATGTGTGGTGTATGTCAGCGAGCAGCACACACTGGACCACTCACAGAAGCTTCAAACCCCAAACGCTAAGTTCAGACAACAGGCGCAGACCGGACACTAGGCTATTTTCTGAAACCACCGTACTAAAATGAAAATGCCATTCCAATGGGAAGGAGAGCAGCCTCCCTCACTGAGCAAATGAAATGGGCCCTGCAGCTTGAAACATCCCCAAGGCTTCGGGTTCACAGACGCTCTGGGTCGGTCCCCGCTCTGCCTTTCACTGGCTCCATGAGTTCGGACACTGCACTTAATCATCCTTAGTGTCCTTACTGGAAACACAGACACTATAATAAAACCTGCCTCCCGGAATTTTTTTTAAGATCAAGTGAGATAATGCATTTGATCAAGTGCTTAGCACAGTGTATGGCACATTGTAAACACGCAATGTCACTAATAATAGTAGTAGTAGCAGTAGTTTCTGTTCTCACCCATTAAATTGGCCTCTGGCAGAGATTAAAAAATGAAGGAATATTGCCTTAGCTCAAGGGAGTTTTAGATTCCACCCAATCTTATCCATTTATTATTAGGTTGATCAAAAAAATCACATTTTTTTCCATATGATGGCTCTCGGAGCGCTGAGTTGTCTTCAACTTCATTCGAAACAAGTTTGTTAGACTATATTGTAACAGCTGTCATACCAGCGTGCATTTAAAAAAAAAACCTTATCAAAATTGGTGAATTTTTGTGTAGCCACTTTAATATTGAAGATGGAAGAAGATATAGAAGATATGCAACATTTTCAGTATAATTTTGCTTAGTTATTTAAAAAAAAATAAAAACGCAACTGAAATGCAAGAAAAGATATGTGAGGTGTATGGAGAAGGTGCTGTGACTGAGTGAATGTGTCAAAAGTGGCTTGTGAAGTTTCTTGGTACCACTGACATTTTGGCCAAATAACTTGCTGTGGGGCTGTCTTATGCATTGGAAGATGTTTAGCAGCACCCCAGCCTCCACGCATTAGAAGCCGACAGCAGGAGATAACCAACATACTTAAAATACCCAAATCAATAAAGTTATTCGTGAAAATGAAAAATGTGTCTTTATTTTAAGGAAAAAATGTAATGGACTCTTTGGCCAACCCAGTATGTCTGTCTGTCTGTCTGTCTCTCTCTCTACCTATCTACTTACCTACCTATGCACATACCTGCTTACAAGATAGCTAGATAGAGATATATAGACACATCCTTTAAAAAAGGACTGCAGATAGTTCATGTAACTCCCACAGCCACGTCTAGCCCGGGTGAGGAAGAAGCCTGGGCCGCCACTGGCTGGGGCGGCCATGGACAAGCACTATGTAAAGCAAAGTTTGCCGATATCCCCAATACGCACCACCGGTCTCAGTAATAGCATGGAGGAAGCAGATTTCAAGAGAACGCGGGTGTGAAATGAAGAGGAAAGGTGTGACCTACCTGGGAGATGAGCAGCTGGCAGGCGGCCAGCTCCCGCTCGCTGGCATTCATCTTCCTGTTGGAGTCCATCTGGGCGCTCTCGAGCTGCTTGCTGCGGTTCACCAGGGACTTGACCTCTGACTTCATCTTGCTGATGTACAGACGGGCCATGGTGAACTCCTCTTCTATGACTCCATTCACATCTGCCAACTGAGCACAGGAGGAACACAGTCAACTACTGCTTATAATTTTCAGGGGTTCAGGGGCCTCTGAAACCTGTCCATAGAGTCTCAAGATGTCTGTGGGTTCCTGGTTAAGAACCCTTAATTATAGGACCACAAGCTGAAAATGATCTAAAAAGTATTACATGGTCAACCTCAAATTCTCGGAAAACTCAGGTGAAACTTTTAATTAAAAACCTCTACTAAATATAATCCTCAATTAGCCAGGTTTTCCTTTACAATAGATTTTTAGGATAAAAGCAATAATAAGACAAGAAAAAGGCACTGAAGATTGAAATAAGAGAAAGCTCTGACGAAGGATTCCATTCGATGTCTTACACCTTATATTTCTAGAGCAGCACAGAGGGCCAGTGTTCCTAAAGTGACTCTGAGCCCCTAAAAGAACTCCAACCAAGTTTTCAATTATGTTCTCTATAGTCTGCTAATCAGACAGAAAAGTAGTCTAATGGTCAGAATATGTACAACTAAGGGTTGAAATAAAAGAGATTTTCTTTGTATTGTCCTCAACTAAACAAGAAGAACAACAACAGAAATCCAATGAGTAAGAATTGCCATTACCAAAAGCCCCCCAGATGAAGGTTTTTCTGTGTGACTTCTCATTACTACCAATCTACATTTCCTTGACTCTATAAGCAGACAGGACTCTTATTATTTAAGATCATCTGAAACCCACCTTTAGAAGAGAAGGTTCTGACAGCCAGCATTCCTGCATGATCTCATATTTAGTTTCTAAGTTTCAGAGCGCTACTGGAAACAAAAATTGACACAAGATAATTCCGCTAGAAACCCTTTTGCTGAAAAGCAAACATGCTCTGGAAGGGCAATTGACCCAATGAGCAAAGTAACTATGTGCATATTTTGTTGAACCACCAGAGGGCACCCTAGCACCTCAGGAGAAAGCAAGAGCACTGTCCAGAACCCAGACCATGAATAGAGGCTTCAGCTCATTCTAGGACATTGATTCCAGCTGTGTTCCTTTCATGTTCCACAGTATACTCTAACAGCCCACTTTTGTCACTATTGCTGTCATTAATTCATCACATGACTAATTTTTCAGTAAACATTTAAGAGTTAGGAATAATGGAATTGTGTATCAACCCTGAAAATTGGTAGCAGACAGGAAGTACACAAATGGCACAGCATGCTGAACACCTGTAACTTGGTGTCTACCCTCCCTTAAGAATTCCGCTACAGTACTTGTTAAATCAGTGTCGATCAACACAATTCAGGCTTACGTCAACAGCAAGAAAAATCTACAAATATCAACATATGAGTCCATTTTAACTTAATGGAGGTTCTTGCGTTACCTTCCTGACTGTGAGAAACGTGTCTACTAACACCACTCCTCCTTACATATTCCTTTTATAACCCTAAAGCACAAAGATAATGAGTAAGAAGAACCTGCAATCTTTACATTTTTTTTGTTCCCCTATCTTTGTGATTGGTTGAACATGGAAGAGATGAGTAACTCATTCTTTATCCTGACCAGGTGTGCCCCACACATTGTCTAGTTTTGGCAGAAAAGTAAGGGAACATCCGTATCTTCTACGTGGAATTCACAACCTACGCCAGACCCTAGGGGCTAAACATCGCTGAGAAGACAAACCCCTCTGCCTCCCCAGGTCTGTCCTTAGACGAGACCACTTTCCATTCTGTGCCCGATCCCATGTGAATTGGGGAAGAACAAAAATATATATGTCCAATAATCGGCTTCCTCCTAAATGACAGCTGGCTATTTCCTCCCCCAAACCAGAACCAGGACCGCAGAAGACTACTCTTGTCCTAGGAAATCTACAAAGAGATTTTGCATCTATGCCTGATGGAAAATAAAAACAGTATTTCAAACAAATGATCTTAACTGTAATGGTTCCTACCCCATAAGAGTTCATATATTTAGTCATTAAGTTCAAAGTTTTCAGTAATTCTAGTTCGCTGTTATTTCAAAAGGAAGAATCAGAGTTTGTCGCTGCAATGTTATTTCTTCCTCTCCCCTGGGCCTGACAATGGCTACGGCAGTACACGCTCGACCTGGATCCAGCACCAATGACCCATCCGGGGGAAAGGGCTGCCTGCCCCTCCTACTCTGCCTGTGGAGGATGAGTCACCCCCACACACACACACACAACTACCCCCTGCGCACGTCCGGCTGGACCAGGTGCCGTGTCCAGGACAAGTAAAGGAAAGTAAGGTGGCTGCTTACATTCTAAGACACAAAAATCAGAATGAGACTGAAAGAAGTCAATGTGGGCCAAAAGAAAATTAGGCAGATAACCCATCCATTTCACTTACTCTACCTCTATTCTATTAGTTCGTAGCTGGATTCCTGAAAAGTCTTTGTTTAAAATTTAAGGAAAACGCACTGGCATAGGCACATGCAAAGAAGAGGAAGCTCACTAATAAACCTGACAAAGCCAACAGTGGGCTCATCTTGTCATCAGCTGGTCTCATCTTATTTGTTGACTAAACAAAATACTGCCAGACCCCATTTCAAGACATGATTGAGCTGGAGAAATAAGAGTTCTGTTTCCCGACCGTGCAGGCCTGTCGTATTCTGGAACTGATGGCTGAGGAGACCCATCTTCCTCTCACATCACGGCACTGCCAGGAGGGACCTTGTGGGAGCTAAAAGGATTTTAAGAACAAAAACACAAGACCACTGGAAAAGATTTCCTAGGTTTGCTCATTTTCTTAGATCAAAATAATTATATCAACTGAGTAGTCCTGACAATAAGGAAAGTATCTGTAATAAGTGGGTCTTCATCAAACGAAAAAGCTCTACACAGCAAAAAAAAAAAAACATCAACAAAATGAAAATGCAACTTATGGGAGAAAATTTGTGTAAATTGTCTATTTGGTAAGGAGTTAATATCCAAAATACATTAAAAAAATTATAAAATTCAATAGCAAAAAAGCCAAACAATCTGATTAAAAAATGGACAAAGGATCTGAACAGACATTTTTTCAAAGATACACAGATGGCTAACAGGTACATGAAAAGGTTCTCAACATCTCTAATCATCAGGGAAATGCAAATCAGAGCCACAGTGAGATACCACCTCACACCTGTTAGAATGGTTGTCATCGAAAAGACAGAAATAAAAGTGTTGGCAAAGCTGTAGAGAAAAGGGAATCCTACTGCACTGTTGATGGAAATATAAATTGGTACAGCTGCTATGGAAAACACTAAGGAAATTCCTCAAAAATTAAATACCTTAAAAGTAGAACTACCATATAATCCAGCCACTCTACCTCTGGGTATATAAGCAAAGGAATTCAAATTAGAATCTCACAAGGATATCTGCATTCCCACATTCCTTGCAGCATTGCACACTATAGCTAAAATACAGAAACAACCTAAGCGTCTGTCAACAGATAAATGGATAAAAGACATGTGTGTTTGTGCAATGGAAAATTATTCAAATTATTCAGACATGAGAAAGAAGGAAATCCTGCCATTTACAACAAAATCCAATGGACCTTCAGGATTCACCCCTCAAGTGAAATAAATCAGACAAAGAAAAACAAATACAATATGATATCACTTATATGTGGTATCTAGAGAATCTGAAAACTTCAAACTCAGAGAAACAGAGAGTAGAGTGGTAGTTACCGGGAGTTTGGGGGTGGGGCGGTGGATGGGGGAGTTACTGGACAGAGGATACAAACTTCCAGTTTTAACATTAGCAAGTATGGAAAGTTAACACACAGCATGGAGATTACAGCTAACGATACTGTATCACATACTTGAATGCTGCTAAGAGAGTAGCTCTTAAGCGTTCTCATCAGGAAAAAGAAATGGTAACTGTGTGATAAAATGAAGGTGGTAGATAATGCGTGGGGTAATTATTTTGCAACATATAAATGTATCATATCAAGATATTGTACATCTTAAATTATGCAATGTTATGTGTCAATTATATCTCAAAAAAGCTGGAGGGGGGGTGAATTATCTGTGCCCATATGATACATCTAAGAAATATCTGCATATGTCATAGGACTTCTGAGCTGACAAACTTCAATATAATCTGGCTCCCCTTGTCGTTTTACAAGTGAGGAAAACGAAGCCCAGAGAACTAAAGTGACTTGCCCAGAGTCACCCACTCTTCCCTTTAGATCTCATAGCCTTAATAATTCAATCACAATTATAAGAAAAAAAAAAAAAGAATGATTAAGACTATGATGCTCTACAAGTGAGAGTTATCAATGAAATTAACTAGTTATCAATGACTTTAACTAGGGCATCCAATGTCTGGAATCCAAAAATATCTTTAAGACATCCAGTTGAGTATTTAAAAATAATTTCAATCATACCTCAGATTCCCAGAGGTAAGGACGCTTTTCAAATGCTGAAGCACCCAGACACTCGTTGATTTCATTAGCATTTTTCATCAGCTCTATTTTAAAACTTAGCATAAAAATATCTCCCTTTATCGTTATCAGTAGCAGACGCCAACCTCCCTCCCATAAATCAATTCCACCTTCATATTTCAAGGGCTATTTAATCACCCAAACGTCAGAAGTTTATAGCTCAATAGCAGTGTATGCTTCTAAAAATTCTTCTAAATCATCGAATATAAAAGCACCAAATTGAAGCTTAACAGGGTTAATCCTATAGTATCTGAGAATTCTAGGCTGAAATTAGATTCATTCATAAAGATTCATGAAATATTCAGTTACAATAGAGGTTCCATGAAAGAATGATTAGGTTTTGCAAGAGATCACATACTCTAAACCTGGAGCTGGTAACCACCCAAGAAGGACTTTCTACGCTTTCCAGAAATGTCTATAAACAAACGTAATCTCGGGAACCTTTCTAGTACAATCCCAGCTCAAAGACTTAGTGTTCCCACAAAGCAGGCTAATGTAGTACTCCACCTTTTAAAAGTCAAATGGCTAAATTCAAAGACTTTGGTTTTAGAGGCTTCTGAGGTGAAAGCTGAGCAATAGAGCACCAATTGCTGGCTTGATTAAAACCACGCATGTATCACTGGCTACTCTGTGTGAGGTGCTGTATTATTGTAAAGCTACAGTAGTCAAAACAATGCACTATCGGCCTAACGCTTAGATCAATGAAACAAAATGGAGGGACCAGAAACAGTCCCATGCACTTTTGGGGGGCGGGGGGTGGATCTGTTCACTGTCCTCCTGGGCTGACGGTTTCATGAGTGTATATGTATGTCATAATTTCTCAAACTGTACACTTTAAATAAGTTCAGCTTACTTTACATCAATTATACTTCAAAAAAGCTATTTTTTAAAATGTGTCTATCTAACTTTACAATGGCATCTCTATTTTGTGGCATGTTTTTCTTGGCTGAGAACTTGGTTTATTCTCTCTCTTCCCTCCATTCCTACCTCATGGACAACTTTTTACCACCCCAGTCTTCTCACCTCCCTTACTTCCTTGTCATCAATGGCACCAATGCGCACGATACCAGGGGATTATTTAGAGTTGGCTTCAGCCAATGATAGTAGCCCTATTTCTCTGCTTTCCCAGCTTCTACTGAAGTGTGGGGTGACCCACCCCTGGCCAATAGAGCATAAGGGGATGTCTGGGTGACTTCTGGCAGATAGTTCCCTCCTGAATGAAAGTGACTGCTTTTTCAGCCCGTCCTGCCTTGAAGGGAGTTGTGTTAGGATGCAATGACTGGTGCTATAGCAGCTCTCTTGCTACCATGAGACAAAAACCTAAAGATGTGAAAAAGTAACAGGCTAATGAAAGCAGAGAGGAAATAAAAGGCCTGATCCTTGACATTGTTGAAACAATGCACCAAACCAAAATTTGCTTCTAAAACTTTAATAAACAGAAGAATGGCTTGAGGAATCTTGTTAAAATGAAAATTCTAATCAAGCAGGTTTGAGGTGGGCCTGAAAGTGTCTCTATTGTCAATTAAGTTCCCAGGTGACACAAATCACAACCTGAATAGAAAGGTTCTAGACTTCTCACACTGTGCATAATTACATGTGGCTTTGTTTTTGGAGCCACTGTTAGAATTCTATTGCTTTCATCTAAAATTTCCTACTTCATGCTGATTGGTTGCGGAATTTTCACTCTGTTGGGTTCTCAAAGAAAAGGAAAAACACAATTCTGAGACTAGAACTGTTAGTTAACCTATCAGATTCCGAATTTCTGTAACACTGGCATGTAAGTTTAAGGAATAAACCAATTTACATGACATCGACCAAGATCTGAAGCCATTTCCTATATTTGAAAGGTAAACTTCTTTTCTCTTCCTCCTTACCCAAATAATCATTCACTAGGCATTCAACCAGCCCTTTGGTCATTCTTACTCAATATTACAAAGCACATGGCAGATGCAAAGCCCTGTGCTAAGCACTGGATATTAGGGCGAATATAGCACAGACCCCGCTTGCTTAGGACCATGCCCCTATAAGAACAGATCAACAGAATAAAGAGGGGCTAACTTACCGTCTTCACATCATTGGTGCCAATAATTCCACCTATCTCCCCCAGATCCTTCAACAGCAAATTCAGGATCTCAGTAGCTCTCTTTTTCTGGTGGTTGCTTAGCTCTTGAAGCTGGCTCAGCTCTCTCTGTGTGGTTGTTAAAGTAGTCTGAAAAATACATTTCCACAACAAATTAAAAGGGTTGCCCAGTGCTTTTATACACTCAGCACTGCAATGAATAACAACATATGCAGGATAGAGTTCTGTTACCATTTCATGCGATTTCAATATAAGGGTCCTGTTAAGTCAAACTGTCATATAGCACTGCATTCTTTGATGAGAAGAGGAATTTGTCTTGGCCTGATATGTTATGTCTACTTATCAGATGACAATTTCCAGGTTAGTGAAATAAGTTATTAAAAATAAATAAAGCCCAAAAGGAGCCTTTAGGTTTGTAACGTGTAATCGCATCTTCCTACCTACCAGATGTTCTGTGTCAGTTCACACTCTCAGGGGTCTTCACGTACCTGCAGGCACCCCCACCCCTAGTTCCAAGCAAACCTGCTCCCTGGACTGCTTCCAAGTTCCCATCTGACTTCAGTCTGGGAGGCCCAAAGGGACATTAATGAGTTTAGAAAACAACTTAGGAAAATTCTAACCTTCACAGAGACACTGAGTTGAACATCCTTCATCTCTTTTCAAAATACATCAAGTTCGGCAAGATCATGCTTCTTATTCCATTTCATTGCCTGACATTAATAAGCCCATATTTTTTCCACCCCTCATGTATGTTACCAAAAGGTATTCATTTTTAACTAACCAAAACTCTCAACATTGAAAGAACAGCCGTCTTTTGGTGTCTTGGTATCAATTCAGCCAACAACAAAAAATAATAATTCCCCTGAAGTATGGAGCTACGGAGGTTAAGGCAAAGATATCCATGCAATTCTTCCATATGCAGCTGTTTTACCAGAGCACTTTTTAATGATCTGACTAAATGAGCCCAGTAGTACTTTGGTTTGACAAAAAATAAAAATTGTATTGTGGAAAATGTTTCACTGTTTTGAGAAGCACAAATACCAAGGACTGTAAAGAACCCCGTAGAAAATAATAAGCAGAAAAAATCTAAGTCTCTTTCTTCATCCCTAAGTGACTTCCAGTCTGTTTTTTTGTTTTTGTTTTTGTTTCTGTCTTGGCATTACCACTGCTTATTTCGTTCTGTTTTTAAAATCCATAGTAGCAGTAGCTCCTATCTCAGGAAGCCATTTAAAAACTCTTCCTTCATGTATTTGAATGTACAGAGTGAGGAGCCTTTTCCATCAGCTCTCCGGTCAGCAGCTTAGAGCTTTCCTGTACCATCTGCTACTTCTCCTTGCCCGGGAGAACTGGATCTTTTCCACAAAGCGCTCTGGGCACAATCCCATGGTACCAGACCATTGGGCCGAGGTGCCAAGGGCAGCCGGGTACAGCCATTCAGCTCCCCACCACCCATTGTCCAAGTAGAAAAGGACAGAATGGGCACATCCCACCACCAGCCACTTTGCCAAATGCTCACTGGCCCTGATGCCATGAGCTCACTTTGCAGAACCTGCAGCATCTTTCACTGGGAGAATCTAAAAATTAGGAAACGTGAGACTGAAGCACTGCTTTAAAACAGGACAACAAACAAACCAGCGCCGTCCGGGGTCAGCACAAGAAGCTGTGGGAGGGACTGGGTTTCACTCAGGAGGGTATAAGCACAAGAGCGCAATCCACTGCCTTCCACGGTCACCCACTCTTGCCTGCTGACACAACCATTTGAGATTTATTTATTGATACCATCGCAAATGCACTGGTCCATGCTAAGTGCTTTATGTAAATTATCACTAATTCTCACTCCCTGAAAGAAGCATGTTATTATCGCCACTTTTACAAATAAGGGAAAAAATACTCAAGACATTTAAATGTTTCAACTACGGCCTAATAGCTGTTAAGTCAAAATCTGAACTAGTGCTTTTCTGGCTCCGAAGTCTGCCCCCCTTGACAATTCCACGAGGCATCCTGCTAACACTGTAAATCCCCTGGTTATAAAACGGTTGTGCTGTGCAGTTCTAGGGTATGTGGATGAAGTCACTTACACAAAATATTTCAATAACTGGATGATTTCAGAGAACGCATCTAAGTCTAACACTGAAAAACCATTCAGCCAACTGCCTTCCTCTACACAGTCTGTCAACGAACAGGCACAAGCACCGGACCGGCTGCGAGGGAGCCCCAACCCCAGACACAAAGGCTCCAACCGTTTTCTGGGCCAGCTCGTCTGTCAGCTGCTCATTGGCCCTGGTCTTGTCCTCCACCTCCTGGGACTTCTGGTCGTAATTGACAGCCAGCTCCTCCAGGGCCTGGAGAACTTCTTTCACCTCATCCTTGGCTGCCTCATTTTCAATCTGGAGACGTGTCAGCTCCTCTTGGATCTTCTCGTAGTCTCTTCTCGTGGAAGCTAAAAGCTGTGGACGTGAGATGGCATGGAACGGGTGAGCCTAATGTTTGAATGTTTGTGTTCTGTTCCGTATCCAAAATAAAGTAATTTTAAAAAACAGATAACAAGAAAACAAACTGGAAAAGCTCAGGATGACTAGAAACCCTACGGCATATCCAGATGCTAAATTTAAAAATAGCACATTATTTCAAAAATGTTTCTTCTTTGTTCTTTTCTTTACTCTTTTTTTTTCTTCTTTTTAGTTTAAAACTGCATAGGCTTAACTCAAATAATTGACTACACATCAAAAATCACCACACTTCATAGCTGGCTGGCTATTCCACATGTTTAATAAAGTATGGGGGTGAATCATTTCTGAAAACAATAATAATACTTACATGGCTCTTTAATATTATCAGTATTTCACATTGTAAACTGGTCAATCTCAGGGTCAACCAAAACAGAATAAAAGAGTGGTCATTAATTTTTCTTTATATTCATCATGGATGCACAGAAGCATATACCCAAAATATTAACAAGAGTTAAAAGTAAATGACTGGGCATGTAGATGCTTCATTATCTTGGTGCCTACTGTATTTTCTGATTTTCCTTTAATGAACACATATTGCCTTGATATCATAAGGGAAAAAAAAAGAAAAGTATTAAGAGTTTTTTTTAACTGTAACAAAAAGGAAATTTTATCACAGGCAATTGTACCAAGTTGGAAATGCGAAGGAACAGAATGGGAAAAAGAGGGCAGGAAATACAAAGCAAACAGAAGACTCAGCTGTAGTTAAGAGGCAAGTCAATTAAATATGGTTCATCTCACTGCAAAGGCATACATGATCTCCCTGCCAAGGAAAGTATTTGGGGAGTGGGCATAATCCTTGTCCCAGAGAGATGAAGGAGAACAAAGAGGCAAAGGAAGGAAATGGTTATTTAAAAAGTTCAGTCTATGGGAGGCTGGGAGCGGGGACACGAACCCAAGCCACCTGCTATAATTGCATCGCGTGATCCAAGCCATAGCATTTTAGCGACAAAGCAGAAAGCACCCTAAAGCACAAAAGAGAAAAAATATACTTGATAGATCATCTGTCTTTTCTTTGTTTAGGTTCCTGTTTGTAAAATGCTTGGCAAAACGCAATGCAATACAGGCACTTGCAGGAGAACTGAATACCATCAGGGGGACGCAAAACAATTTGCCTCCTTTTTATTGTATCCCATCTACAGGAACACAGCATGTGGACCCCTTTCCTCTCTGCTTTCCCTTCCTCTGTCTTCTAATTTTCATTTGCTTGTTTTTTCTACGAGATAGCACGGGAACACGGCGTGTATCAAATACCTGAGAAGGCTGATTTGCAAAGCTGAAAAAGGTTAAAACGGCAGAAAACAGGAGTGCCGGGCACGGGGCCTGAGGAAGCAGAGCCACCCTTGTCCAGCTGCTGAGATCCTCTGTCTCTGCTCTTCTCACACCGAGTGTAGCAACCAGGGTTCACTCTCAAAATCCCAAGGTTCTACAAAGTCAGAGCCTTTTCTGAATTCATATTTATTTTCTAAATTCAGGCAAAATCAGCCTTAATAGGCACTGAAAAGAAATCTCTCAAGAAATTTCTACACGATTCAGTGATTTTGAAAAAATTCTTTGCAAATTAAATTTCTGGGACAAACATCAACAACAAAGAGTAATAAAAGAACTTTGGGAAAAAAATTTCTTACAAACTTTACCTCATCCTGATCCAACATCTGCTGCTTTAGCTTTTCAGCCAGCTGGCTCTGCTGGTTAATTTCATCATCCTGAAACGAAACATCATGTTTAATTCTTTTTGGTTAGTTATGTCATTTTAGATATCCTGGTTTCCCAAGACTGTCGGATACCAGGATGCCAGCTGTGAGCTTCCCAATAAAATGAAGGGCGTGGCATGGCGCTTCCCCACATAATAAAGATCGGTTCTGGGATCTTGATTTCATTAAAATCGCTCCCACCCACCTCTGTCAGCAGAAGAACCATCTGGGTACTCTGGAAAATATAATATCTTATACATTCAACACAACCCCTGCTCTTTCAGAAATCAGAGATCCTGGGCTTGGGAACTGAAAGGGACTTCAGAAATCTCTTTCCCAATTCAGAGATGTTAATGGTGAATTCCTAGCTTAAAAAATAAGGCAGTGAATTTCTAACCGTCTGCACTGTAATATATTCATGGCCCAAATACTGTCAAACACATCAGTGGACCAGGAATGTTGACACGTGATATGTAGGAGAGACCAGTATTTCTACTTGAAACCTCTTACTTAGATTGGAAAAACACTTACTAGTGAATTAATCTTTGGCGTGAGCAGAACTCCCTGTCGATCAGAAGTTAAGTTTCTCAACCAGTTTGAAAGAAAAACACGACCAACAAAACACTCAAGGAAGCTGGGGGGGAGAGCAACGTTAATTCTTACTTTCCAGCCTGTCACTGATGCCCTCGAGCAAATTCTTCTCCTCACTCTCATTTTCTGACAGCAGGTGCTGCCACCACAAAGCCAGAGCTGCCGGGTCTCATTGCCCATGGAAGCATCTCTGCCTCTCCCTAGACGTGTCCACCCAGCACGGGCAAAGCAGCAGGTGGATGAGGCTCAACTGCATGAGGCTCAGCGTTCACAACAAATATTCTCCTGAGCTGAAATGCACATCTGAAGCACAGCCTGTGAGAACGACAGCTTGGCTTCACATGTGCCTCCCTCCCTTACAAACAGCAGAAAATCCTAACTGATGACACTCCTCGGGTCTATACCCCAAGCAGAGTCAGATTCCATTCAGTAGCGTGGGGTCCCTCTTTGTGCCGATGCTGCCCAGGTGACATCATCAGCAGCCCATGAAAGAGAGTCAGAGGGAGGGAGGGAGGGAGGGAGGGAGGGAGGGAGGGAGGGAGGGAGGGAGGGAGGGAGGGAGGGAGGGAGGGAGGGAGGGAGGGAGGGCTTGACTGTGCTCTCCACCTTCTATGGAGGTGAGGTGAGGGCTAAATTCAAGGGCCTAGTTGACAAACCTTATTAGCAAAATCTCAGTTTCCCACGAGATATTCTCCAGCCTGCCCGCCGTGCCGATGCATACATTTAAATCAGATTAACTCGGTGTCACAACTCATGCTGTCCGCAGAGCAAGAAAATTCGAAAATCAGGACCGCAGGACCTGCATTTCCCTTTCCTTAGTGTCGTACATCTTTTGGCCTTAATTCTCTCCTTAAGGACATCCTTTTTCTACTGAACTTTTTACTCTGATTTTTTTTTAATGGTTCCCAAAATACTCATGGCCTTCCTCCCCAAATCAAATTTCTGATAGGAGAATTAGGGAAATTACACGAAACAGAAACTGCCAAAAATGGTACATCCACAACTAAGAGACTATTTTGCAGGACTTACTTTCTCTTCTACTTTGTAAACTTGGAATGTTGGCCACTAGGAACAATTTTGTGTTATGTTCCTCAGCACATAAATATTAAACAACTTAACATAAAAGACGCAAGGAGTTTAACATCCGGAGTTGCCATCTTCCCCTGGGATATATGAGCAACAGCTACAAGTGATATAAATCATAAGAGAAGACAAATGGGGGAACAAGCACTTTGTTCTTATCCTGTGTTCATTTCAAAGCCTGAAGACACAGGCTTCCTCTCCTGACAGGTTTCAAGTGGGATGAGGCGATGATTTTTGAGGTACAGTGAGAAACCAAGGGCCCCTATCTCCATCTGGGAAGCATTAAGAGCAGGGATTACATTATAAGGACATAAATCACTGTACCAGAGACATTTCCCAAACTACATTTACCCTTTAATAAGGCAACTGCTCTTAGGAAGGAGCACAGTCGATTGCGATTTTTAAAAATGTTTTCAAAAACTTTCAGAATAAGATGTGGTGCTTCATCTCTATGTTATTCAAGTACGTCTCGTACACCGTGTGTACACATGCACACTCTGATGCTATTAAGATGTAGTCCATGCATAACAGATTTTAAAGCCCTTTTCAGAAAATATTCTTGTACTTGAATTTCCTCACCATTAAATAGATATGTTGCCAATGGGTCACTGGTCACCTTTAATTAGAAAGATGCTTTTGTTGATGTTAATCAGTGAAAAAAGGTTCAACCTCTATTTCTACTTATACTCAATTCCTCCTGAGAGACTATCTCCAGTAGTGCAGGGGTATGGGAAGGGTGATGGGGAACATGCGAAACAGCACCAACACCAGTTTGCTCATCTTATAATTCTGCTTTCAGCCTTTCTAATGCCACATACGACGTGGCTTCTCCTTTAAGCGAACAGAAAGGGAGAAGAGTGAAAAGAAAGAAACGAATAGGGACTGAGCATAGCTATACACTAGAAACTTTTAATCTCCACGGCAAACTTTTGAAGTAACAGATGTGAGCCCCATGTTGCAGATGAGAAAACATCTTCGGCAGACCAGGTCATCGACACAGGTCTCAGCATTTTAAGTCACAGATCTGACTCTAAAGTGCATGATTTTCCATCACATAGCACTGCCTTGGGAGAACACCTGTCCTTAGACCCATGGAGGGACTCCATAAGGGGACAGAACGGGCCACATTCTGCATAGGTTCGTTCACGAGCGCTGACACGTTCCTCATTTAAAGGTTGATGTTTAAACAGGATGAGCACTGGACTGGGAGTCAGAAGTTGTGTAACCTCATTGCAGCTCTGCCACCTACAGGTGATGTGAACTTGGGCAAATAATGTAAACAAACCTGGCTAGTTTCTCATCTAGGCCTAGGTACTTCCGGTGCTACCACTTAGTAATCTATGAAGGTACCACATTCCAACTCATGTATTCTTGAAAGTATCACACCACTCACACCATCAGAAGCATGAACTACCGTCTAAAGCCCTTAAGAGGAGGGCAAATAAGAATGACAGCCAACAAGGCAGTCCACAGGGAGAGTTACTGAGGTCACACCACTAGGTCGGGTGCCCATCCAAGGCTGCGGCTTTGGGCTTGGCCCTTTCCCAGGTCTCTTGGCGTCACCCTGTGAATGGCCACAAATGCTCACCTCGAAATATGTACTTACAGGGTTTTTAAGGCATAAGCTAAAGGGAAACGAATGATATGACAGAAAATGTTCTAGGCTGGTCATCAGGAGGCAGGAGCTCTAGGGTCAGCTCAGCCAACAACCAACTGAACACTGCCAAGGCATGGCATCGCACCACTCCGAGCTCGAGCCCAGGCCTCATTATTTCCTTTTGTCAGCTGGATTCAAAATTCTGAAGTCTTTTTCCAATCAATGAAAACGCCTCATGCCACAAAGGTAAATGACCCCAGTTCCAACTGTGGCAGGTGTCTATTCATAGATAAAAGACTACAGAATCAGGCTATCACCCCTCATCTAAGATTCTTTGAGGATTTTTAAAAATGAAACCAAAAATTCTAAAACAAGGAAAAAAATTACACTATATTTAAACAATAGCATTTCTTTGGAGAAATCACGAAATTGTCTATACTGGTAACTTATTTTTTTTTTAAGCTTTTGTTTATTTTTAGAGAGAGGAGAAGGGAGGGAGAGAGGGAGAGAAACATCAATGTGGGGTTGCCTCTCAAGTGCCCCCTACTGGGGACCTGGCCCATAACCCAGACACGTGCCCTGACTGGGAATCGAACTGACGATTCTTTGGTTCGCAGGCCGGCGCTCAATCCACTGAGCCACACTAGCCAGGGTGGTAACTTATTACTGATCTCCTTTTTACTTTGAGGGTTTGTGTAAAATACCTGGGCAGAAATGAAAGGTAACAGTAAGTCAAGTGCCTAAAGGGCAATTAACCCAGCTCCCACAGAAGTGAAGAGCTTATTAAATATGTCACCAAAAGGGTAAGATGACCCGAATTTAACATGGTGGTTATAATGCAAACTCCCAGAGTCACAAACTCAAAGCAGAACAAGCTTCCTTAAGGCGACCAGTCACGTTTCCCTTGTAAAGGTGAAACCAGACTCTGAGCTTTACTCAAAAGAGAGGCCAGGAAGATTAATGGCAACGTTAACATAGCAAAGCTGTTTCATCCAAGCCAGGGGTGTCCCTGAGCACTCTGAGCTGAAGCACAGCAGAAAAGATTAAATCAGAATAAAAATATCAGCAACCTTGATGAAATGAAGTGAAAGGATTTCGACTATTCCAAGGGCAGCATGCCAAGATCACGTGAAGCGTCAATTTAATTTCCTGTGCCTTTGGGATTCCCAACCTGACCTCCAACAGGGATGAATGATACACAATGTTCTCTAATGCCTCTTTTCCTCTATTCCAGCCTGTGCATTGACATGACTATTTGATCCCAAAAGTTTGCCATAAAAACAGACTCACTAATCAGCATGTTCAAACTACTTCATTCAACAGAATGCCCCTGAAAACACCTTTGCCGATAAGATAGAGGCAACTGGACCACAAACCACCCTCACAGGACCTTGGAGCTGCACAGTTAAAGCACATACTTGAGTTTGGGGAGACCCCACCTTTGTCTCTATAGCTGGGACTACTGTTGGAATTGCAGAGGTGAGAAATAGGCCCAAGGAGGAAAAGACGAGAGAACAAAACGAAGATCACATGCTTACACCCCTGGACCCCCCACTCTCACGCAGTGATCAGCCCCAGTTCAATTTCTAGAAGTGAAAGCTATCTGTCTACCCAGGCCAGCACTCCACTCTTCCAATCAAATGTACATGAAAGTTCCATTCCACATGAGTCAAGCACCCTCACGCTGCCCAGTCAAGAGCTAGGGTAAATACTAGGAAGTTAGACGTAAACAGCAGTCTGCAGCCATGCATCAGTAGCATACAGCTTGAAGCTGCTTCTGGTCAATAGTTCTGGGACCTGTCACCTTTAGCGTTTGTATACCACAGTGAGGACTACCACCTCTGGCTACGCACCTTATCATCCAGGAGCCGATAGAGACTGGAGAACTCCTCATCGTACTTCTCCTTCTCCTCTGCAGAGATGCCGGCCACGACAGGAGCAATGTTGTCGATGATGGGGGTGTTATCACAGGGCTCCAGGGCCTTCTGGTCCTTAGCGCTGACCTGTTCATCCTCGGGCACAGCTTCTCCTGGAAAACACAGCCGAAAGGAGCTGTGGGTTGAAGAAATTCAGCACGGAGCCCTTGAGAAAGAGTTCCGAAATGGTCACTCCCATGAAAAAGACAAGGAGGACACAATAAAGAGCTGTTGTAGAGAGTTACGGTTTGTGTTCTTTCTATCTGACAGAAAGGCCATAGTTAATTGACCAAAACTGGTTTCATCAACCACAAAAGCTCTTAACTAATCCAATGTACAGCAAAACTCAGAATTTTTTTCTGCATGCATATGCAGAAAAGGAATTCCTCCTTTTGAGGAATATGTTGGGGCTTTACTAGAATCATATTCTCTCTAGTGACTGATTCAAAGGGAAACAGACCTCTGAGGCATTGTAATTACCAATTAATTAGGTTACTATTTCATTAATAGAAACAGCCACATCAAGGAACAAATTTGCCATTGTTTAATAGAACGCTGTAGGGCCCAGATCCTCCGAATCTGAGCTCCCGGAATCCCACGCAGGAAGCCTGGGAGCCACGGAGCCAGGCATTCCGACTGACACTGCACAAACACACATCACGATCAACCGCCCTCTCTGCAGGGTGTCGGAATTAATTGGCTCTGCTGGAGAGTTCAAATGGAATAATTTCCTGTGATGTCAGGCTGTCCCAGCAAAGAAAAAGCAGCCAATCTAGAATAGCATGCAAAGACTTCGCATACCACTTCTCAGCCTGCAGAATAGTGTTGGGCTTTTGAAAGAAGCATTACCAAGTCTGACCAGGCAAACGGAAGAAAAAGGTAACGTTCTCAAACTAGCCAATGGCTATCCCCAACAAGAAAATCACCTTGCAAAGACAGGCTGCATAAAAAGAATTCTATGAAAACCATGTGGCCCAACTGAGTCTCTCAAATATCTTCTTGGAAAGCAAACCGGAACCTAACATACTTTCACCATCACAATGTTTACTGTCAACTTCACACTCAGTTTGCTACAATCAGTGAGTGTCTGCAACATTCCAAGCCTCACTCCACTTAGCCCACAAAATGCATTGGGTGGAAATTTCCTCAGAAAACTGCTCTGAGTCACAGGAAAGCTCTCATACAAACAAACAAACAAAAACAAAACCAGACAGAACGGAGACCCTAACCTGCAGCTTCATTGGCAGCCCGTATCACGCCTCGAGGAACCCCTCTGGAGCACTGTCTATATTTACCTCAATACAAACAAAGCCATTTGTGATGGGGTTAGCTTTGCTGCTTAAGATCCATTATCAAACTTGATGATCACAAACTGCCTTCATGACAAATAAAATTAACACCCAATGATTTCACTTTTGCATCACAGTTCCATTTCAAGCAGAAATATGAAGCAAAACCTAGAATAAACTATTACTGTGCTGAATATAAAACTGAGCCAACACTTTTTCCTTTTTAAGCTCAGCTAGACTGCATTGTACTCGAACCCTTTTCTAAAATTATTGACCTGAAACAAAACCAAAATATCAGAGTAGCCTTTGAACTGAACCTGAACCAAATCAATATTTCATTCAGTTTCCATTCCTGGTTTAAAACATCTATCAACAACCTTAGTGTACAGACTGAATTCCACCCAATTAAAGGATTTATATTCTCTGCAGTCTGCTAAATTGCTGGGCCATAAAAGCAGTGTCATGTTCGAGTTCATAAGGATTTCTTTTTTTATGCTTTAAACTATATATAGGTATCACACATATATACACATATACATCTTCTTACCATAGAGTATACACTAAAACTTGAAATGCCTCCTTCACCCCTACCTCCCAATTCTGTTCCTTCTCCAGACAAATGCACCACGAACACTTTGGTAAATGTCCTTTCCCTGCTTGCATCATGACTGAACCTCTAATTTTTCAGTCCTACTTACGAAATTTGGGAACACAGCAGTCTAGTGCAGTATGAATTTGATCTTCCAGCTTAAGCGTGATGATGAAATTCTTAACTGTGCTAGACCATAACCAAGCCAGAATATGTTCCTATTATCCATAGGCCAACCCACCCCAAGCCCAGAGGTAAGATACAAAAACATTTGCAACCCCTGTGTTCTTGGATTCCAAATGGCCCAGGAGGCAGTGGTATCACAAGGACGGTGTGAGCCAAGGAGCTACCCAGGGTGTGTTTCAACTGATCCCACAGGCAGGAGCCAGGAAGGAAGCCCCATAACCTAGTGACAAGGAACCTGCTCTAACAAAAGTCATAGGTCTCGCTCCCCCTAAAACCACTCTCTCCCCGCACCGAGGAATTACAGCAACATCAAGTGCCAAGGCTGTCCCAGACCAGGGAGGCTCAGCAAGCTGGCCAACGATGACACAGGGCACAGACCGCTGCACTCCTGGCGCTGTGGCGAGACACCAAGCCACGCGGCTCCCTCCACAGATCAAGTTAGTCAGAAGCCCACCACCTGCTTATTAGCGTCTTGGCTTGCTTTTTATAAAGGAGAGGAAATAATCATGCTTTTGTTCTAAAGATTAATTAAAATAGTACATGTAAAAAACATAAAAGGTGTTATTTTTAAAGTCCATCTCTTAACCTCTCCTCTCCCTGACAAGTTGTCAACTTTTTTCAGGCTTTGCAGATAAAACACTGTTTTTAGTTATTCTGAAATTAGTGTTTCTAGGGACTTCACAACACCTTTGTGGTTAGAGTTCATTTCCAAAAATAAAACACAATATAGCTATGCAAGTCCCTTTCAGGTTTACTTTTATTAAGACAATATTTGAAACCTACAGCAGACTTTCTGGTTTCTCTTGGAGAATTCTCTGAATCAAAGCATCAACATGTCCCCCTGCAAGCGACATCTAAACAACGAGCTCTTCCCAGTTTATATTCTAAAGGTCAAGCAGTCAGGATTATTTTTTGCAGCAACCGTTCAGGCCGAGAGGAACAAAGCAGTAACACGCAGGAACAAAAGCAGCGGGCGTCTGTGGGAGGGCACAGCCCCTGCCCAGAGAGGAACCAAGAGCTGGCTTCCCCCAACACCGCTGCCCTTCAAAGGACCGAGAAAATGACTTCCAGAAGCGTCCCTGGTAACTACACTGTCCAGCTCACAAACACGTCTGGGGATTGTAAATTCCCAACACTATGCACGACCTGACACTAGGCAATCTGTCTCCATGGCAATCTCACCACTTTAATCGAGAATATTCCCTGCACTGCAGACTGAATCTCTTGAGAAGCCCCCACGAGGTGATTACGGAATAACTGATTGTAACAAGGAAGACAGCGGCAAACAAACCCGCAGAAATAATGCCCTAAAATCCGGGTATGGGGAAATAGAGAAAGGATTACCAAATGAAGATTAGCATCTATTTTTATTCCCCTTCTTTGCATTGAAAGCAAATTTCTCCCACTTTATCCCCTTGGCTTCATACCTGCTGTCTCTAGGGCAAGAGCTTATAATATTGTAAAGCATCTGATTTTCTAGAATGAAAGCTTCCCCTCCCCACTAACTAGAAACCTTCCCTTCTTTAAATAAGCATTCTGGCATTTCCTATTGTCAGCTGTAATTACCTTTAAGGACTAAAAAGATTTGTGTGTACAGAGGAGCATTCAGTTGGAGCACACCTATAAGGTTTGTAGAGCATTTTAATTATAAAATGAAAACCCTCAGAGGGCATAAATAACATTTCTACACGAAGTAGAAATCTATCAATTGCAATAAACAAGAATGACAGGCTAATAAAAATTCTCGTTAAGGCTATTAGTTAAAAACTCTAAAGCAGGCTTTTCGGTTTTGTGTTTATTCAAAAAAAAGAAAGAGAGAGAAAACCATTACACTGCCAGTAATTCATTAAAATTTCACACATGAAATAGCAACGAGCTAGTTACCCTTTTCATAAGTTGAGTCCCTCAAGCCTCTGGAGGACCTAAAAAGGTAATTGCATTCTCCCTGCAACTCCAGGGCCGAGAAAGACTTGCTGGTCACTCACAGCTTCCGCCAGAAACCACAGCAGATCTGGCAAAGGGGGTGCTTTCTTTTAATACCAATTAAACAGGCCCAGTGGCAGACCTAATGGTAGGTAATTTCTATATCAAAGAAACTGAAAGGAAATCTTTAAGTTGCCAGATGGGTAAGAGCAGCTGGCTACAAGATGTCATTACATAAATGTGAGGTTAAAAAAAAATCATTCCATCATGGGATTATTTTGCACACAAATAGCATCTTTCACCCTAGTTCCTAAAAATACTGTAAGCATCTTAAGATATTCTCTAATCCCTTCTAGAGCAATTTTCTAATAAACTGGTCACCTGGTCATCTGCACCATCTTTACAATCCTCCCTTCCTGAAGAGGCCTCACATTCTCCTAGCAGTCAGGATTTTTATCAGTGTTTGGCTGTACTCTCAAAAGAAGAAAGAGAGCCTAACCAATTAGCTCTCTCAAATTAAATGCTAACTTCTAAGCATCTACTGTAGTAATCATGAATCCAGGGGTGGGGGTGGGGGGCGGCATCTTCTACATATTTAATGCAAAAAGAGCAAATTGTGTTCCAACCACGGATGCCGCAGAGTTTCACAAAGCCCCAGTCAGACCCAAGGTTACAGATTTAGCTCATTAGGGAATCGAGCCTGCTGGCCTGGCAGGTTTTAAATCTGGAGAACAAATCTGCTGGAGAGATTGCCGATTCTTCCATGCCTCCTCAGCCTGTGATGAAATAATTTTTTTGCATGACTTCAGCAGATGGGGTAAATCTACATCTACGCTGTTATTTAATATTACATTTTATTCAGGAGACGCTGCAGTTATGCCACATTGTCAGGTCATTTCTCTGCTCTCCTGAACGCCAGGATATTCAGGGCCTCCTTTCCTGACTTAAGCCCCTAAATTATCATTTTCAAAGGGCAAAGCTCAAAGACATATCCGAGAAGAGGGCCTGTGTGAAAGCTCTCCTGGCAGTGACAGGGGACCGCAGACCCACCCAACTCTGAGCATCAGGCCCCCAGTCCTTCAACCCTCCCTCCCCATCCTACGTGGTCTTCTCGATGGACTGGGGGGAGCGGGAGCCAGAATTTGCTCTAAATCCAACTACCTAAATCTGTCTCCATTTCTAGGGCCGCTCGAGTCCTTTCTAGACATATGATCAACAAACAACAGAACTGGGGGGAAAAAAACCCTTATTTCTGACCACTGCCCAGTCTATCTATACATCCTTAAGCTAGTAGGCTGAACAAATTTCCATGAGGCTAAAGTTGCCAACAGAGCCTTCAGTTTCAGGGGAAGACTGTCACTAGATTTCAGCCCACAAGATGTCACTAGCAGATAGCCGTGGGCAGATGTGTTGTTTTCCAGCCACTCAACACCCATTCTCTTAAAAGCACCTCAACTTCCTTGTGAGGAATTAGCCCCCTCCGATGATGGCTGTCTGGGACGAACAACACATCAGTGTCCTATCCTTCCCCAGCCAAAGCACACAGCACTGATCTCCCTCCTCTCTTGGCCTCTGACATAATACAATGCAAGGAAGAGACACACACGCACAGGGACTCACTCCAGGCGCACCCCTTCGTGAGCCCTGTTGATTTTCCCCCGTTGCCTGTGTGTCTCTGAAGCAGCCTCAGCTTCGCTGTCTGAGACGGGGCCCCGGTACTTTTGATTCTGGAACTCATTCATAGCCTTCTAATGCTTTCTCTTTCAGTCGAGGCCAGACAGGGTCAATTCCTTGCACCCCAATGTCGCTTGCAACCCAGGGACCCTCACGGGCACAGCGGCTCTGTGCCACTGGAGATAACACCAGGAGAGTGAGTGGTTCTGTTCATTCCTTCTTTAGAAAAACATGGTGTGGCCTCCCCTTAAGCCACCATGCACATGCCCTGAGCCATCCTGCCTTAAGAGCAAGGACAGAAATGAATTAAGGCTTCATGTAATATATACATTATGAGTCACAGGCCATATTCTGAGAATCGATTTCTGCCCAGAAACAAAAACTGCCAGGCTTGCATCCTGAAGGAGCTCATTAAGCTAGGAGGGGTTGAAGAGGGTGTTGGGGGGCAGCCTATAGGCATGTAACAGGGATAGTATTACAACTTTTGAATGGCCTCATATGAGGGAAGCTCTCTCCTGTGGCACAGGCCCGTTACTGCTGACGGTATCCGACACACCTCCCTTCACTTATTTACACTCTCTGCCTGGACTCGATTGGCTGTTGAGGCATCATATCATTTTACCTTTCCTACCCCTTTGTATGCCTACCTCGTTCTATGGGAAAAGCACAAGTATGTGTGCGCGCGCACGCACACACTCACACTTTTTTTCTGCTACACTCCATCTCTCTCACTTTCCTGCAGCTGGAGTACAGCAGGGCAGCCAAACTTTTAAATTATAAACACACCATGCAAGGAAAGAAATCCCTTTCCCAGGGAAGAGCACATACTATTGATGATCCTCTTTTAACGCACTCAGACTGCAATGTGGAACTATCAATACCCAGGAATTATTGAGGTGAACTAAGTAGCTGCCTCCTATAAGTTTAGAACCAATGTGTGTGTCAAATTTCAAGAGTGTTGGGACTCTCCTGTCACTTTGGTTTTAGTGGGAGGCACTCCATCTATCAAAATCCCAGTTCTCTAGCTGACATAGACCAGCCATGCTCTCATGACTATAAGGAACTAGAACTGATGCACAGACACACCGCTGAAGTCCCTTCTTTTCTGGTGTGGTCCCATCTAACTGGCTTATTCAAACCACTAGGACTAGTGCAGGCTGCAGACAGTGGACAGAGCATGCACTTAAGGGCCAAGCTCCCTCTGTCCAGGTCCCAGCTCTACCAGGGACAGAGTCACCTCGGGAGTCTTCTAACCTGTCACAACCACAAGGGCTACCTGAGGATCAAACACCCAGCCTAGGAATGTAACAGAAAGCCTGGGGGTTTTGCTGTCTGTGTGATGTCTAGTTAATCCTTGAAATAGACCTTCACTCACAGCTGGTCATGGGACTACTCCACCAACCTGAAATCGATATCACTAGAGTCGGTTCTCTACATTCAAGAACTTTGGCTTCTAGAAAAATCACCTTTAAAATGCACACGTTAGCATGGAAGGAAAGGAGAGCCCCGCGGATCTCCCTTCTCCCGCCAGTCACCCAATGACGACATGGTAACAGGGGGTGGGTGTCTCCCTCTTCCCTTTTTCCCTATTCTCTCACTGGAATCCACAGGGACCTCACCCCTACCTGTGCCTTGAAGTCCTCCCTCTAGTTCAGGTAGCTCCTCTCAGCTCCAGACCCTCAGACCTAACTTATTATTTGATATTTTTACCTGGAATGTTCCACAGGAACCCACAGCCCACTCCTCATTTCCCTTGTCTCCAGTCTGGTTCTTCTCTGGTGCTTCCTTTCCCAGTGCCTGGTTCTGCCCTCCACCCAACTCCGCAAGCCAGAAACGTGACACACTCTTTCCCCAGAGCCAACCCTTCAGCAAGCCGTGGTGACTTCACCTCCTCAATACCTCTTTCCGATGCCCTGTCCTTCAATCCAGCTACTGAAGTCTCACCCCTGGATGACCACCCTCCCTCCCTCTCCAGTTCATTCTCCAACACAATCAATCAATGGATCACCAAAAACGCAAATGTTACCATATGACCTGCAGCTTAATATTCTCAAATGGCTTCTTACTGCTTCCAAAATAATGACCAAAACCCCAAACAAGGACTGTATAGCCTTGCACAGAACAGGCCCGCCTACTCCTCTCGCCCATCTCAAGCCAGTGCTCCCCCACCTCGGCTTTCCACACTGGCCTCCCCACCCCCACCCCTCGGCGACATTGTATACGTGGCTGCCCCCACTCCACCCTGACTTCCACCTTGCACCTCCTATCTCGCCTGGCTTACTGCTCTGTTTCTCTCAGATCTGATTCCCCATGTCACTTACTGGGGGAAACCTTCACTGACTTCTTGGTCAAGGCCAGGACCCCCTCCTATAATAACTTTTAGCACCTTATCCTTTCCCTTTTGGGCATGCAGCACAGACCACCATCACACATTTCTTGATTCTGGCTGGAGTCTACCTCCCCCGCTGGACTGCACACTCATGAAGGCAGAGACCATGTAACTGCTCACCCTTTAATCTCCAGTACTGCCTTATGTTTACTTAACGTACATTGATGGAAGTCCATTGTGTGTCAGAAATTATACATTAGTTTCCCCAAGTTACGGAACTTAAAAAAAGGATACCCTAGGATCTCACCCTATAGGACATGGACAACAGTCAATTTCTGAGTATATTCGCAAAGTAGTGGGACAAACAGTTAAAATGATGCTAAGTGCAAAGTCCAAGAACAGGGGGAGGTGCCCAAAAGAGATGCGAGGCATGAGGTGAATCAGGCAAACAGGGGAGTGGGCAGACCCAGAGAACAGAGCCCATTGAGGGAGGGAGAATGGAAAGATTAGAGCTTGGCAAGGCATAGAAAAGAACAGAGGTAACAAAGTAAGTTGCCTACTCCACAGTATTTCCGAGGCCAGTCCTCCCTCCCTTTACCAAAAGGCTTTACTGAATGTTCCAGTCGCCCAGCAGAGAATTGACCCAAGAGGATCCCAGAAATAGAACAAAATTTCATATGGCCGCTCCCTGCTTTGCCAAGCATCCCTCCCCACTCCCCTACTCCTGCCAAATCACAAGGAATCAGCCACCAGCTCCAGGTGCTGAGTTATTCAATTATTCTAGCAGCTTTCAAAACACATATGCAGCTAGAAAACCTCCCAAAAAGAAAAGAATCGTGCTATTTAGGCTACTAGGTCATTTCTTGAACATCTCTTGACTCCTGGTTTGTCATGTAATTGCTTTTCAACTGAACAGGAGCTCCCTGACACCCCACCCTTCCCAGCAAAGAGCAGAGGCAAACACAATCATAAGCGATCCGCGGCGAACTCTGCGGTCCCCAACAGGCGGGCTCCCTCCTGGTCCGCAGGGCAGCCCCCAGGCTCCCGCACTCACCCAACCCCGAGGGCGGCTGCCGCAGCGGAAATACACACTGAACACGGCAGCGAAGAATCTGAAGAACAAGGTCCAACTCTCCACTGTCCCCCTACGCACACACCAACCTGCCTTAAAGCAGTTGAAAGAAAAAAACAAAACAACCTTCTACCTTCTGACTTCTATCACAATGCTAAAACCACTGAAATAATCTGTCTGCGCTTGGATCTGAAAATCCCTCTTCAACGCCTCACCCACCACCCACCTACCCACTGCATGTCCGCTCTCTGAGATACGTTCTTCGAGTAGAAGAAACCAAAGAGAACGTTTTGGGGAAAAAAAAAAACTGGTCACGAAATAAGCCTTTAAAACTCCGTTTTAGTATCAAGCTTCTGCAGGAGCGCTCTATTTCTGGCTCAGAAGAAGCAGAGCATGAAGATGAGTTGGGACTAAAAAGAAAACAGCAAATATTTACCAGAGGCGATTTTAACCTCAAATCAATTATAAAACGTGCAAAGGAGAGAATGGCATTTTTCATTTAATCATAGGAATGTGAACTACAAAGTCTCAGGCACTGCCCTCTGACACTCACATATGGCTTCCAGAGAGTGAATTACAGTAACACATAGAGGGGCATCTCGCTGGAAATAGATGAAGGCAATCTTGCACATAGTCACTTGCCCACACTAAGAATAGATGTCGGCCAAGTGACAGGCGGGGGTGGGGAGCTGTGCTGGGAAACGAGAAAACCCCCGCCGCTCACACAGTTGTTGCGAGGCAGGACCAAGCGTCCCCATCGCCCCTCTTCCCCGTGCGTCCCAGATGCCAGCAGTGGCAGAAAAAAGGAGCAGGCCCTCGGGCCCCGCTCTTCCTCTCCATTCTTCCTTACCGTTTCTCCATCTGTTTAGCTCCATCTCCAGATGCTGGATAACATTCTTCAAAGTCTTGTTTTTCTCTTTCTCTTTTTCATATTTCTTCTTCCATTCTTCCGCTGTCAGTTCCAGGTTCACAGAGACAGTGTTCTTGATAGTCTTAGCCCTGGGGTTAAAAACATGAGGGAGAGAGACTCTGAGCACACCTATGAGCATCAGCTAAATCGTAAATACATTCCCTTCACATCAAAAGACTGGAACTGGGGGAGCCAGCGGGGCCCTGGGACTCTTAACCTACCACCTTTCTCCCTGCGTGTATTAACAGCACTGCTTACTCCTAAGGCTCCAAGCTCACCTTTCCCTTTTCTCCTTTACCTCTAAATCCAATGGATTTTCATTCAAATTGTCTCTCAGGGTCACCTCTTTCTCTGTTCACCATCCCCATCTCAATCTGTGTTCTCAGCCCTGACTTATGATTATAGCCTTTTTTCAAATATTCAATATTCTCCTTTAAGAATCTTCACACCACTGCCAGATTCCCCTTCTTAAAGAGAGTTTCCTTTCCATTCAATTAACATTTATGAAACATGGCACATACCAAGACAAATGAGACGAGGTCTCTGGCCACTTAGAGCTTGCAGTTTCTCCTACCAATGACACACAGACTGAAATAATGCAATCCACGGTTTCTCCTACACTATCTAGAGTCATCCCTGATGCACGGAACACAGGTCTGCACGAGCCCCCTGGGCCAGGCGGGGCACCGAACCAGCCCGGGCAGCCTGGCCGGGTGAAACCGCGGCCCCCCGCTGAGCAGCCCCCCTCCCCCCGCCGCAGCCGACTGTTACCTGGCGGGGGGCGGGCGGGGGGGGGGGGGCGCGCTGGAGGGCCACTGTGCTCAGGTCGTCCCACTTCTCAAGAAAAGCCAAAAATCGAGATTTTTAATTTTATCTCTGAGTTTATAACAATTTTTCAAAATAATGTGAGACAAACAAACATGTCTAGAAGCCACCAATTTGCCTTTTCTAGCACAGAGGTGGGGTGCCCTGCTGGGGCACCTGCTGGTGTGGGGGTGGGGGTCACGCCACAGTGGCTGTTTAGACAGTAACTCGAGGGGGCAGCTGGTGAGAGCACAGGCCACGGCAGCTCCAGCTTATTCCAACAACAGAAAACATAGCTAGCTACGTGGAGAAATGAACATATAAGCAGGTATGTCAAATCAAAAAGTAAATTGACTATGGCAGAATTCCACTTATGACTTTCTTTTTAAGAAGGTATAAACTTCATTTAAAGGATGCGATACCCCGTTTTATTTGCTATTGACTTTTTCATTTTAAACTCCCACTATTTCTTGTACTGTCACATTTGCTAGCACTATCTGATGTGTGATTCAGGTTAATTACTGTTGTCATCGAATGACATTTTGGATGGGATTTCTACTTCAGTTAAAGAAATTCAACAGTCCTCACCAGCGCTACAGATGTCGTTCCAGAAATTAATTCCTAAAGCAGACAACTAAATAACCCAACTGTCAAAAGAGGAGTTAAATGATTTCAATGGAAGACTGCACTTAAGAATTAGTATAATTCTCCCTCACTGTTCACTGCAGCTTGAGGCTGCTGTCCCCAGAAGTGCTTCAACTAATTTTTCAAACAGCAGCAATTTTATTACCACTTTAAAGTCTAGGCCAGGTTGACGCTCTCACCTCTCCTTCTCACATCCTCAGGCGGTGCCGTGGACGCCTCTCAGATACAAACACTGCAGCGCCCATATCAACTCAGTGAGTCAGAAAGTGAAAGATAACCTATGGCTCTAAATGCTTATGGACCTTTAAGGGTACACTTTGACATTATTAATCTTACTTTTTAAGTCATAAAGAGTCTCTTGATGATCTCTAATGATACGAGAGAGAGAGAGAGAGAGAGAGAGAGAGAGAGAGAGAGAGAATAGACACTCCGCTATCCTTAGGCATGTTAGGCAGAAGTACATTTTAGTGAGCAGACCCAGCAGGGTTATCACTGGTGCAACTGGTCTTCATTTTCAAAGTTCTTTTCAGCTGCTGTCCAGGAAATTAGTTTTGTTCTACTTCTGTAGTAATCAGGGTCCTGGCAGGAATCAGAGGGCCCACTCAAACTGTATGATTTGGGAAGAGTTTAACAAAAGTACGGGAAGGGTGTTGGGAAATGACGCAGGATGATGCGTATCCCACATTAGCTATGGGGGCAGCCATTACCACCCTTAGGCTGAGGGGGCCCCGAGGGAGGGGGCCAAAAGAAAACTGCCCACTGGGAGCAGCAAGAGCCATTAGTCTGGGGACACAACCAACCTGAAGGGACCCTGCAGGGAAAGAGTCAAGAAATTAATACCCTGACCTCACTCTCTTCTATCCTTCTGCCCATGTTCCTCCCTCACGGGTCAAACTTGACTGGAACTTAGAGGCAAGGGAGGCCATTGTCCTTGTCCAAACAGGTCACTGCCCCAAGGCCCAGAGCAGAGCAGAGCAGAGACAGCACAGAAACACTCCAGAGGAGCAGAGGGAGGACATTCAATCCAGCTCCTATTTGGAACTCAGAACGTTGGTGGGAAGCCATGTCCCATGCCACCGCCCTGGAATTCATTCACACCTCGCTAGCCACCAAAGGTAGAATATGAAGAAATCAGACAACGTTGAGAGGGAAAGATGTTAGTTCTCCTAAAATTGTTCTACAGATTTAAAATAACCTCAAATAAAATCCCAGAAGGTTTAAATGTGGGTATAGAAAATAATAAGCTGATTCTAAAATTTATTAGAGAAATGAAAAAAGTCAAGAACAGCAAAGATAATTTTGAAGAACAAAATGGAATATCAACACATTATTAAATCAGAGTAATTAAAAGTAATTTCAGAAACTTTGGAATAGAAACAGAATCGATTACCCAGAAACACTACTCAGCTATATAGCCATCTGATTTACCACAAAGGTGCCCATACAGCACAGCAGGAACAAACGGTCCTCTCAACATATGGTTCTGGGTGGGGTGATGACCTTTACCCACTCCCCCAATATCATATAAAAATTCTATTCCAGAAGGATCACACACATACTTGAAAAGTAAAACAATAAAGACTCCGGATGAAAATGGAAGAATATCTTCCTCAAGACCCTGGTGTAAGCAAAGATTTCCTAAATAGGACATAAAAGAAAAAATATTTGACTTCATTAAAATTTTAAAACCTCTTTTCATTAAAAGTCAACATTAAAAAAGTTCAAGCATAAGCCACAAAGTGGGAAAAGTGATACACAATACATAAAAGGACTTAACCAGAGTAACAGCTGTAGGTCAGTAAGAAAAAAAGCAGACAAGCAGTGAAAACCTGGGCAAAAATCTGAACAGGCACTTCACCAAAAAAACGCCAAAAACACTCAAAAAACTATTTTTTGGCCAACCCAATATATAACCAACAGAAATGATGATATTTGTTCACCTAACGATATGAAAATGACATTGGTTCATATGAAAACCAATGTCATAGTAACTTCATTTATAATAGCCTGAAAATGAAAACAAGTCAAACTCCATCAACAGCGGAATGGATATGTATGTGCTTGTTATAGTCATACAATGGAATACTATAACTATTTTTAAAAAAAACAACTACTAGTACACATAACAAGGTACCAAATTTCAAAGGTACAATATTGCATACAAGAAGCCAGATACAAAACAGTATTCAACGATTTTATTCACATAGAGTTCAAAGGCAGGCAACAGTAATCTATGTTAAAAGAAGCTAGTATGATACTTACTCTGGAAAGCTGGATATTGACTAGAAGGGTACAGGGGAGAGGATTCTAAGGTGGGTTGTGGTTCATGTGTATATACACGTGTAAAAATTTACTGAGTTGCACACTTAAGTTTATGCACTTTACTATAGGCATGTTATATTCAATTAAAAATAAGTTAAAAAAAATAAACTGATGAAGAAAAAACCCAAGTCAGAGAATTTTTAGATCACAGAATAAATTAGCATAACTAACGGCAATACTAAATTTCCATGTCTAGAGTTATTTTTTTAATAGAACAAATATTCTCTCATCTAGGATCTCAAAACAACCTTGCAGAGTGAATGAGTTTGAAAGTGAATAAAGTGTGTCTCAGTCCCTTATTCCCCTAAGAGACCTAGATTAAAAGGATGCTGAACTTCTAAAATCCCTCTGGCTGTTAATCATAAACTTTAGGAGAATTTAGAATAAAGAGCCTCACAATTAGGTTTTATCTAATTTCGCTACTCATGAGACCCTTTCGTCCTGCATGAAGGTTGCCATCAGTGTGGATTAGGTAGTGAGCTGCTGTTTTTGGCTTTGTCCACTTTAGAGCGAGTCCAAGTGTCCTCGAGCTTTGACACTCTGTGCTCATTTATTTTGGAATTTGCCACAGACTTGCTAGCTGTAATCACACTAAACAGCATTATATCTGGACTCTGTTCAAACACAGTCAATCATCATGGACCCTGGGCACCCACAACTGCACATGGACACAGTTCAGGGTTTGTGAGTGCATGCACACACACATTGCTCAGCCTTGATTCCAAAAGAATTGCAGGCTTTCAAGGAAACACAAAACTGGCAGGGTAGCAGAAATTAAGAAATGTTCTTCATAATTTTGTCTAGCTGAACTTACATAGCAATAATGATACCGCCTAGCCCTGTAGTTCTGTGACACTATCTGCTCAGTATAGGAAAGCAAGCCAGTAATCCACAGGGGCCTTACTCTGCCATGAATTTACTGCTCATTCATCATACTTATGAGTCAATGGGTCAGTCTCACTGTGATAACATTTGATTAATCCAATGTGACCTGATCACTCACAAAGCAGCACAAAAGTATCTTAGGTATTCACTTCCAAAGACCTTCAGGTTCTTCACCCAGAGGCTCCAAGCTGTTTACAGAAATAAATGCCTGTTCCACAGCTACAGCCATAGCAAACGCTGAGTAAAATCCTAACCAAAGGCTACTCAGGAAAAGAACCTTAATTAATCTTAGGTTTATAACCTAACAGCAAGACCCACTTAGCACAAATGAGCCAATTCTTGAGGGTGTAATTATCAAAGATCCATTTTGCAGTTTTCTTTGTTTCAGCTCGCTGCAGAAACACCACTTAAATAATATATAATCTAGATGTGC